CGCTTTTTTATGTCGGGCTCAAAAAGGCATAAGTGACACAATCAGCAGCATCAACAGCAGGGCAAATGAACACGATATTAAACTGCCGTGTTGTATAACCCACCATCCTGTCACCCCCCCTCCCAGTCTTTCTGTCTATACGTCTCCCTCTTTCTCTCCTCTCCCCCACTTCTCTTGCTCTCTCATTTTCCGTTGACAAGCTCTCTGAATCTTTGACCACACAGCCTGGAAAATAGCACAGAGTCATGCTGCAAGGCAAGTCTATCCCTGACCCTGATTCCCTTTCACCACATTTCCATCAGCGGCGAAGTAAAACACATCTAATCATTTCAATTTTCCCCCTCCGTCGCAGTATTATTAACATTGTTAATTTTCTGAGGGTTGCAGCCCAGAGGGGAATGAAAAGGGAAATGCATTATGGCGAGATATTCCATTGATCCACACACTTACTTGGTTGCTGTAATGGCCTAATGATACCGAGAGGCCAATTTAATACCGATGTAGAAAACAGAAGGCCATTCACCCCCAAAAGAAGGATGCTTTAAAAACCAGTGATGTCGATGTAAAGACACAGCCTACCATCTAGGGAGTCACACTGCTCTATGCTAGTTTGTTCATGCAGCTGTGCTTTTGTGTTACCTCCAAGACAAACTAACATGGCAAACTTCTCACTATTATTTCATGAAAAGGTGCCTGCGGAATGAACTGGCATGTATTAAAGTATGACGAAGCTGCTGGGAGTACTGCATGCCTGCAGTGCTTGAAAGACAACTGTAATTTCCTACTCAAGTTAGTACTCTGATATTTAACTTACTTTATAACTCAAAAACAGAGTTGTCATAGTCTTCACCATGCATATAAGTAGATATATATAATATACACATGACACCATGATTCATTAAGAGGAAAGGGTTCAAACTAGATGTTGTTTAGTAAAACCATCTGAAATTTCAAGTCAAGTTTCTAATATGTAATGTCTGAGTTTAGGCACTAATACTAAAATTATACTTTTTTAACTTGGTTAGATTTCGGAAAAGATCGTGGTTTGGGTTAAAATAAGTGCGGAAAGTGGCATTACTTAAATTACGTAACAAACAAGTTATTTTTGACAACTGTATGATGATACGTTGATTTAATGCAGTCTCAAAATTAGCAAAATTATAGTTTTATCAGGAAATGTCTGAACAAAGAGCAACTTCACAAGACCAAGTATTTATCACAAGGGTTGGTATCAGACAGTTATCAATACCAGGTTCTACAGACTCATTTAGTTTGTAACTCAAAAGGTAAATAAGGTTCGATACCCAGCCCTAAGAGGAGTGTAATGCTTCATCACCTCTGTCTTCTTATTCACACACTTGAGGGTCCTTGGCACGCAAGACAAACAACTTATGCCATTTAAACTCACCACCAAGTTTTTATTTCCTGTGGTGCCAAGAGCAAAAGGTAAACTATGTTGAGACAAGGAGTAGTAGTCTATCTCCTCTGTGGGAAAACAAACTGCGCTCTCACTGCCATCACTTCAATAAAACTTGCGACTGGGAGTGGTTTCATTTTCTATAGAGCTGAGCAACCAGAAGAAAAGATATTTGCCCGCGTGAAACGGCTCGACCAGAAGGTTTGCACGGAAACGTTGACCACTGGTGAACATGATGGAGACAGTCTTATTGCTTCCTGCTCTTTACCAAAGTGAAAGCTTTTCTGAAAACAAAAAAAGGCTAAAAATTCTGCCAGTGACCGAATACATGAGAAATTGATGCCAAGGCTTTGGATTACTTTATAATTTATTTTCAACAACAATAAAATACAGCAATTAGAAAACTATGTCTGTTCTTGAAAAATGTTGACAGTCTGGTTTATGGAAGTCAGTATACACGCACAATAAGGACTACAACTTTGGTAAAGGAGGCTTTATTGTTTTAGGATAAAGGTTTATGCTGTTGAATCCAGGCTTCTGAAGATGTATCAGAGGAATCTTTGGTCAGTGTGCAGGCATTGAAGATTATTCAGAAGCTGAATACAACACTACAAGTTCGATGTTATCCATTAAGACCCGTCACTAACTTTTAAAAACACTGATCAATCAAAAACAAAGTTCTGGTATATTTGAGCATCAAGTACTGAGACACAGTTCAGAGATCTGAAATGTTTACACTGGGGTCTTTACCCAGAATCCTCTGCGGGCAACTGGCAACATGGAAGGAAAAAGGTGCAACATGCTTACTTGGGTTATGTATGTCATCAATTGCCTAGATGGACCAGAATTAACTAATTAGAAAGCTTAGAAAATCACAAGAAGTTGACATTTTTTTTGTTATTTTTGTTAATTTAACAATCATGCCACTTGTTGCATTCAAACTGGTTCGGGCTAATGAGCTAGCAACAACACTATAAAAACCTGGAGCTACTAATACAACTGATAGCTGTCATATGGACAGTAACTATACGAAACATATAATCAGCCTCGGGGAACATAATGGTGCCCACCCAACGCCCTGAGGTTCATCAAGCCTGCAGTGCCTACTGTATGTACCCAAATAATCGAAACCACACAGAGCAGAAAATAGTAAATAGAGCAGAGAAAGCTTTTTGAAGAGGCTGTTAAGAGCTTAACGCATTCTCTAATTATATATCTCACTTGCTCTCTTTTGAAGAGAACTGTAAATGGGAACACGCTAAAGTTTTATATTACTACAAGTCTTATAAAAATGAGGAAAAGTGGTCCATTGCGGACCACTTTTGCGGCAGTATAGGAGCTTTTATTCCTCCCCTCTCATTTCACTTAAGCGTAAAACACAAAGCATTAATGAACGCTAAGAAGAAAAGGAACACTTCACTTAAAGATTTACACCAGTAACACACCATGTGTGAAATGAGAGGGCAGGGAAATGCCTAAAAAAGTGTGAAAAGACTGCCACGTATAGCACATGTATCTGTAGGAGACGGACAGATAGATAGACAGACAGACGGACAGAGAGACGAAATAGATAGCAGGTGTTGTAATATTTGGCCTTCTGTGACACTTTGCCTTCAGTTTGAGGTGAGGTTTATATGAGTGCAAACACAATCCTGTAAGGGTGTGTGACATTGTATACTGCTGCATGTAGCAGCCTTTGTTCTTCTTCTGGAATAAGAAATAAAGGGATGAAGGTCAGTTGGAGAGCAGACTGCCAAATATAGCCGCTGTGTTCATGTGAGGGCCAGACTCTCCAGAACGACAAGCCCAGCTCTGACCATGCCCTGTAATTGAGGAGAAAATAAGGACAGAAATTATATGTTTATTTTTGACAACAATTTTAATCTTCTGTGCTCTCCTTCAGAAAACGAGACGCCCACAAAAAGGCGCTGAGAATCTGTCTCACCCGAGATCGAGAGTTGAGTTGTTGACTGTTTCAAACAATAAATGAAATTCTAAAGACTGAAAGACAAAATATATTTTATCTATTGAAATCTATTGTATCTTCAGTTCATAAACATCACACGGTTTAATAATGGCATATTAAATAAGGTAGATAAGAGAACTTTATAACTTTAAGAGCATATTTTTTTCAGTACAGATTTATTTTCTTTTTTAAATAATACTTTTCTGTCAAAGAATTGTGTTTTTTCTCCTTGTGTGTTCATTGTGACAAAAATGTTAATAAAGTTGTTTAAAATGAATGCAGTTAATGACTGCATTTTACATATGTTTGCTTGTTTCGACTGTATATGAATATTTGATATATGTAAATTTATGCAACAACAAAATGTGTTGAACAATAAAAAATACTTTGTGCAATTATTTTGTATCTAAAAAAAAATGTGAAAGATAAATAATTCTCTGGAGTATTTGATAAACCTAAAGCTTTATAATGAATCAGTATGGAGTTATGATTCTTATTGTAGTTTTTAAATAGTTTACATTTAGTTTCAGGCAGAGACACCGCTGCCATTAGCTTACACGGAGTTTGGGGACGAAATAAATTTAAAATCGGTAAATTACCAAAATAAGGGCATACATATTTTCCCTCTGAAAGATTTCTAAACAAGACTCAAAAATAAATGAAAATATTTGGACACATTTAAAACTGTACCTCTTGTAGCTTTGGCTAGACCTTTTATTTTTTACATTTTCCAACTTTTCCTCTTTTCTTCATCTTTTCATCAAACGTCTTACTTGAGGAAACAATCTTTCCCCCCTCTTAATTTCACCATATTCTTTTTTCATTTTATTTGATGTAATAATCTCTTCTTTATTTTATTTAATGACTTGATCCTTTCCTGCTTTGCTTGTCTCTGTAGTTCAGTCTCTTTAACCATTACAGTTAGTGTCTATAAAGCAGTTAACTGCCTTTAAGAATATTGGAAACAGAGAGAGGGTTGAAGCCAGAATAATAAAATCTCGGATGGAAACCACAGACTCGGTCAGCTTAATTATTTTTATTTATGTGGCACAGCCCGAGGCTACTTGTTCTTTTGTTATTCTACCTCTCTCCGGAGGACAACAGGAGAGAGATGTAGTCGTTTTTCACTTCTTATTTACAGTGCTCCTTCAGTAATGTGTCTAACAGCATGAACACAATTTACAGCTTATCTAAATCTATCATCCGGCAAGATAATTCTCTGTGAGATGATGTTAAACTGGAGTCTTTCCCCTCAGACTCCACTGGACTAATCCCAGTGGAAAAAACAATGCCAGTGAAACTGAAATAATGTCCACATGGTGATTGATGAGTAACCCATTCATGCATTTATCTTGAAAAATGATTCGACATTCTCTGTTTGGGGAGGTGGGATGTCCTCTTTCTATCCACCAATCTCCTTCCAGTTTCCTCTATCTCTGGGTTTGTATTGCCTCTTAGCGGTCTTCAAAGAGCCCAGAGCCTGTAATTAGGGGGCGGGCTTCCCGTGCCTCAAAACACTTCTCCGCGTGAGTGCCCAACTTCTTCCAAACTGTCCTGGGACTCAGAGCTGCACTTCTTCCGCTCCCCTCATCTTCCTTAGGATTTTGTTTCTCAGGGATGGCCGCATCTATTCTGGAGGTAGGGAATGTAATTGTAAGTATATATTTTTTCCTTTTTTTTCCTTTAATACAAACTCAACTTTTATGATGTTTGGTTTGAAGGTATTTGAAGTCTGAAGAATAATCTTTAATAATAATGTATCACTGATAAATAATATGTGACATAACAAGATAATTAAAATCATAATGTGCATTAATGAAGAAAGAGCTTAGGTCTTAATGTGTGATTTAAAGCAATTTAAGGGTGAGCTGCTGACCGAGTTTGAGTATCATGTAACTTTACAACTCACATTTTAACTCTGTTCATATTTGCATAAGCCTGGGATGTACGTTTCCTGTGGGCATAAGGTTCCTATATCCATGAGCAAATAGAAAAGTATAAAGATAATTTACTATTTAATAGTTATCTCACGTGGCCATGAGAAGTGCAGATGTCAGTGGATGGAGCAAGAAGTTAAGAGAACAGCAGCGATTGTAGGAGCAGTAAAAAACCTAAAAGTCTGTGATGAAACATGATTAACCTGAGAACTGGGCTGACCCCAGGGCTGTTTGGAAGAGAAGGAGATGACCAATAATCACCTCTGAATCAAGAGAGTCAGTCTTTATAGAAAGACCATGATTACGTCTTAAAGATATGATAATATTCTATTCACACTTGATTAAAGCTATAGGCTAGGAGTAAAAAGAGATGTACGCCTGGACTTAAAACGACAACGGTACAACATATTTATTCCACATAGGATTATCACAATAGTCTTATGTTTATACCATAGCAGGTAACATGCAACTTAAACAATAACATCAGTAAACTAACCCTTACAAAATGAACACTGTAAAGTTCTATAGAAATATAATACGATTATAATATTGATTTGTCATCAGCTATATCCACGTGTACAGTGTGTGGTAGCAAAGACAGACACAGCGCCTCTGACATGTTGTGCTATGGTGTTTAGTTCCCTGCACATGGAAAAGGGGAATACAAAAAAAAAGTATGTGAAGGAAATTCCTTTGGTAGAGAAAAGTGGAAAGGAAAAATTAAGATTCTGAATGTGTACATGAAATGTTATAAATTAAAAATCAACTTGATCTGTATGAAAATTAAACAGCACAATAGTCAGACCGTACCATGAGCTTGTCGAAAATCTTCAATGCCATGGTGACTACTATAAGAAAGATAGCTCTTAATAACTGCTATGAATGAGTCACTGTTACAGTTAACAGTCCAGCGGCTACACGTGATTAACAATATATATTTATGTATGTTGGAGACCGTGAAGACAGGTGGTCAAAGTTTAAAGCAAACATGAATGCAAAATTATGAATAGCTTGTGGTTTAAGTGGAACAAAAGACTAAGGGAATTCCTCCCTTTGCTGAGCAGAGCAGAACCTACACAAGCATAACATTCACTGCTTGAAATTGCTCTGACCACTTTGAAAATGGAGCGAGCAGGAAAATCCAGCGGTGGCCGTCTTACATACGTTTTTTATTAGAGTTGACACTGACAGAAGCAGCACCAGCAAGCAGCCATTTCCTGCAGACAGACGGTCTTATTTTCTCCCTTGTCTCCTCCCCTCCAGGAAGACGCACGCTATGGCTCCAGTCCTCTGGCTATGTTAACTGCTACCTGTAACAAGTTTGGCAGCACAAGCCCCGTCAGGGATTCGGCTACACCAGGTAAAATTGGCAGCGCTATTCCAGTAAAGAAGTCCTACACCATGACCTCTGACCTTCAGGCATCTAAGAACGGACGGACCGCAGACGGCAGTGGCCTGGCAGACTCCTACACTGGCTCCTTCACCACAGCTGGAGGAGGAGGAGGTGGCGGGCTGCTTACCCCCACTGGAAGCCCCCCTCCTTCAGCCGGAGGCTACACTACAGAATATAACCCTTTCTCCCACTCCTTCCAAACCTCCATCTCCCAGGACCCGTCTCTTTTAGTGTCCAAGGCCCACGCTACGGCTGACTGCCTCACCAGTGTCTACACCTCGCTGGATATGACACACCCCTATGGCTCCTGGTATAAAGCCGGTATCCACCCTGGTACTCCGGCTAATGCCACATCCTCCTGGTGGGATGTCCACCCCAACTCCAACTGGCTGTCCTCAACCCAGCCCCAGGCGGACGGAGGTCTCCAAGCCTCCCTGCAGCCTGTGGCACCACAGGCCTCCCTTAGCCCACAGTTGTCCAGTTACAGCACCGACTTTACACAACTCAACTCGGCTCCTTACCCTTCTGTGGGGCTGGGTTCCTCCTCACACCTCCTCCAGCAATCTCAGCACATGCTGCCCCAGGACATGTACAAGCCCAAGCCTGTGCCGATGGAGAGTCCCATGGGCCTAAAGCCTGCTCGGGGATCAGGGGGCTACAGCGGAGGGGGTGCGCCCACCAGGTCCTCATGTGACTGCCCCAACTGCCAGGAGCTGGAGAGGCTGGGGGCCTCGGCTGCATCCCTGAGGAAGAAGCCAGTCCACAGCTGCCACATCCCAGGCTGTGGGAAAGTCTACGGCAAGGCCTCCCACCTCAAAGCCCACCTGCGATGGCACACTGGCGAGCGACCCTTTGTTTGCAACTGGCTGTTCTGCGGGAAGCGTTTCACCCGCTCAGACGAACTGGAGAGGCATGTGCGCACCCACACGCGGGAGAAGAAGTTCACCTGTCTACTGTGCAACAAGCGTTTCACACGCAGCGACCACCTTTCCAAGCACCAGAAGACCCATGCAGATTCTGCAATGCAGGGTAAAGCTGTAGCTGTGGAGGGAGAGACAGATCCTCGGAGTGAGGAGACCACAGAGCTCAACGCCAGCGCAGTGCCCACCAATACTGTCACTGACCAAATCACCAACGGAGATGAGAAGACTGGCACACCTAATGGAGTGGAGAACAGCAGTGGACTGTTGGAGATCTGACTTCATTAAGTCTTCCATCTAGTACCATTTGAGACATGATGGGTTGGTTTTTTATGGTGGAAAAATTCACCTTTTCAATAAAAAAAGACAGTTTTTTGTTTCAAGACATACAAAGGATATCAGATCATGTTTGAAAAGAGTTGATATGATAAATGACTGAGCATGTTGCAGGTAGCAATCACTTCATTTTCTCTGGACCACACACACAAATATGGGCAAGCCAGCAAACACGAACCAATGCACAAATGTATGCAGGCAGACACAAATACACATAACTATGAAAAACCAAGCCATGGTGTACATGGACACAGATATAACACGCGTATGTGCAAATACAAAAGCACAGATATAATATGTGCAAATGTACCAGTATATATAATGCATATATACATACACACACACACACATACAAATAAACACAGTCATGCACACATTTTCTGCCTTCAAAATGAGGCAAACCACTGGGGAAATGTAATCTGCGAAAGCAGAAGGAAAAGAGCTCTGAAGCCGCAAAAGGAAAGTAGGTTTAGAAGGAGACTTATGGTTAGGATGATGGAGTTGATGGAGCATTGCATGCCTCGAGAAAAATCTGATTTACAGCTGTACTTTGATACTTATGCATTATTCTTGAAACAATCAAAGGACGATCTTACTTACTGCTTCTTGTTGCCACACACATTTTGATGTAAAGGGTTTTGCATTTCACTTTTGTTTGCTGTTTGCTTCTTACGATGTCTAATTTAATTTCATATTTACATAAATAATCTAATTTATGTCTTAAATTATACACATGGGAGATTATCTTGCACCCTGCAGGAAATATAATGCCTGAATAAACGCAAGATGGTTAAAGTTGGCCAATAACAAAATAAAATGCATTAAATTAACACTTTTTTTCTTATTTATTAGATATAACGTGGAGTTTGGGACTATGTTTTTAAAGATTTATTTATAGATCTTGAATTTAGATGTGCTTGTAAACTATTTCTATATAATCTCTTAATTGTGAAATCTTCCACACCTGGCGAAGTAATGATTAATAAGGGTTTCCCCTTGTTTGTACATACTATATATTTACAACAATATATAGATATTGTAAGGTGTGTTATTTTTCTACTTTTTTATGTATTTTCTATATTTTATGTAACTTTCCACAATGAAAAGATCACTATGTTGCATCAGTACAAAGAAACATAAGAGCATAAATTGTTGTTTATAATTTTGCTCATAGAATCGAACTACCACTGTTTGCTGACTTGTTGTGAAATGAGTGTATAAGATACTGTACATAGTGATAAAGCATTACACCTCATAAAGGTAATCACGTTGTAAAAGTTGTGGTGTGAAATCATGACAATGTTGGTGCTTTCAAAAGTAAAGACATTTCAAAAGCATGTTCTCCACTGGTGTTATTCGTATTTATAGAGGTGTTTTAAAATGCATAAAACGAGAAGCAGTCGCTCTCTGAGAATGAAGCTCACTCCTCCACGCCTCATCCTCTCCTCACTCACTGTCGTTCTTTTCATATCTTACTATATTTCCAACTCACCATGGCCAACCAAATACTTTCATTATCTTTTGCAGCACAAACAAAGCCGTCCACTCTAGTAAAGTCTTAACTCCACACAATGACCCCTTTTCAGAGAGCCACTGTAGTTACACTCAGGACAATTACTCCACTCTCAAGCTTGAGAGGGGTAATTACTGAGAGCGATGCTCCAGCAGAGTCAGGAGAGAGAAGAGGGGATTAGGACAGGGGAGTTGTGGTTGTATTGTTTATTGAGGGAGGCGGTTAAACAAAGGATGCCAATTAAGGCAGGATGCAGGACGACAGACGTGATGTGGAGAAACGAATGCAGAGGAGAAGCTGAGCTGACCATCAAGTATACTTTAGTCCGTCAAAAATCTTCAACTTGAGGCCGTGCTGTCACTGGAGATAACAAGTTAAAGTCACGACAAGTGCGTGTGTCTTGATGTCCAGTCAGGTCACTGAGGTTATATCACAGGCTAATAAAAATACTTGAGCTGGGTGGACTACCCATTCTGCATTAAAAGAGCGGTAGTCTCAGGAAAAGACTAAATGAAGCGTACAACACGTACATGTGCTAGCACCAGACCAAAGAGGTTGACAGGTGATGGTTGAAATAGATAAGCAGGTAAAACAATTTCAGCAATATGTTAAAATCCTTCTCCCAGACATCCTACTAAACGACATGATTTTACCAGTTCTAAAAAGACAAGAAGAAAAAAAACAACAAGATAACTTATTTTTAAATATAAAAGTAAAGAATTACATCACAGAAGTGAGGACCTGTACAGCTGGAACCCCCTGAAGCTACTGACTCTCCTGATGTAACATTTACACTTCCCAGGCTGCATGGTTCCAATTTAGGGCTTCTAATGAGCTGTAGTTGAGGTCAATTTATATAAAACGTCCTGGGGCCGACTCTGTCATCATGGACCGACATGTTTATGGTGGTTTGAAGTGGGCGCACGGTCGAGTCCACAACATAAAAGGCAAACAGGGGGAATGGGGTATGGGCAGGGTGTGTCAGGCCAGCGACTGAGGGGGGGGGTTAAGAAGATGGTCAGTGGCTTTTAAAACCTCTGCTGCTACTGGTATTTTCTGCCTTTTTAAAATACACTCCCTTAGCAGTGGTGGTGGTGGCATTCTGTAGCCTTAACTGTATTTTTACTTATTTTATTTAGAAAGCCAGGAAACATTAAGTGTTGCTTCAAATAAGGCCATAAAAAGAAAAATATACATGCAGTGACACATAGCGGCAGAAGAAGAAGCTGGACAATCTGTTCCATATGGTTTGCCCACTCGTGCCCTTGTACTCTTTTTACAAAAAAATGCTGCATTACACAGACTTGTTAGGACTAAAAAGGTTATTCCAGAGGATCCCAGACACACACACGCTAAAGCCATCACAAAGCCCATTTCCGACCTAACTAACACGAAGAAGCAATTTTAAACATTCACTCAAGCGATGTTTGGTTTAGCCATAAGACTTGACGAGCTACATAAACTTGTGCCTAATGAATTACTCCAGTTTTTAACTCTCTGAGGTTCCAGCTGTTTTAAGTGAGAGAACAACTCATCATGATGTGCTGAAGAAAATGCTAATGAATCTCCCTTTCCTGTTATTATCTGGTCCTAACTGAATAGTCAAGTAAAACAATGGGACTGTGCTCTGAAATGGCCACAGGCACGGGGAGTGCAGGGCGGGGGGGGGGGTTTGTGGGAGGCATGAGTCAGGACAAAAGCACAGGTGTCTGCAGGTGTGACTGGGACTCTGTGGCCGAGCGGGGGTAGAAAAGGGAAAAGAATGTCAGCACGCCCAGAGGCTCAGCAGTCAGGCCATAAGTAAAAACAAGATAAGGCTTTTTTTTGCAAAGTGGAAACGTAAACTGACCTGAGTGAACCATAACGTGACCTGAAGAGAAGGAGAGGTCAGGCTAAATAAAACTGAGCTAAAGAGGAAAACATGACAGATAAGAGAGGGCAAGAGGTAAAAAGGTCAGGCTAACATGCACATGTACTTTATGTCTAATTTGCCATCTTTACATGTGTTAGGAAACAGCACGATGTTGCAGAAAAGCACAACACATGTGCCTCGCTGATTAAATGCTTTTCTTCATATATGCAGTAAACTCAGTAAATATTGTGGCCCAGCTGATGCAACAATCTTGTATCTTGCAGCACTGCTTCCATTATTACATTGGCGATGGAGGTTAGACCACCCTCTCACTTTTGACGGAACATACAGCAGTCTGTGTGGCTTGCATCATCAAACTTGGAGTGCTTTCCATATTTCCCACTCTACAATATCACAGCGCTTTGTAGCCCAGCACCGCCTTTAAAGTTTAAAGGGAGTCCTCCCTCACTGCCCAGTGCTCCAAATGCGGCACTAAACGAGGCCATTTTGTTTATAGCAACTGTGGGAGGGTTGTGGGTGACTCTGTGCCCCTTTAAAAAGATAATATGCTTCCCATTTAATGGCCTCCGGATGACAAATTGCTTGCAGGGGAAAATTAAGTTAAGAAAATTGCACTTGTGACACGTAAAGACATATCCACTCTACTCAAGATGTTTGACATCCATAATTCAACTACGCAGCAGTAGGTGCAGTTATGATTTTTTTTTTAATAAATACATTTGCCCATGAATAAAGTGCACATGCTTAGGCTCTTTATCAGTGATCACAAGTATTTCTCATTATGTGCATGTAGATTAACGTACATTAACTAATCCTGACAAATAACTTATTTTTTCATACAGTTTGCACATTCAGTAAAGCTGGTGGGGTTCCCTTTCATTTTGACCACAATGTAAGGTGTTTCTTTTTTCATTGACAAGAACAATAGCCTTATATCTCTTGGAGATGGTTGGGAAAATATTTGATGGCCAATTATGGCCTATACCCTTACAAATATCTAAAGCACCCATAAACTGTTCTTTCCTTTTGGAAATGCTAACTATCTTGATGGTATGATGATATTCTGACTGACACGCAGCCCAAACCATTCCTGTTGGCAATTTTCAAGCCACTGAATACTTCCTTGGAACATTTTAAGTGAAGCGATTTAAGAGAGACAATGTAGAAAGGGGGGGGGGGGGAGATTTGTGAAAACACAAAACGCTCAGGAGAAAAGGTAGAGAAAACACAATCAGTTAGACCTGCCACTTACAATACAGCGGCCACATAGCAAATTAATCTGGATTTGGATCAACTGAATGAGGAAACTGAAGAAGGAAAAAGAGTCAGGGAGAAGAGAGAGAGAGAGACAGTAAGACAGGCAGACAGAGAGAGAGAGAGAGAGAGAGAGAGAGAGAGAGAGAGAGAGAGAGAGAGATGGAGAGAGATGGAGAGAGATGGCGATGGAGTCAAAATGCAGAAAGAGAACTGAGTGATTTGGGTTGGAAGCGGGAGCAGGGAGCCTGGGTTGGCAGGGTTTTGGTGGAGGAGTGTGGTGGTTCAGAAGTCCTCCAGCGCGAGGCGCCAGTGTGTCCGGCGGGGGCCCTGACCATGAGCTGCATCACCCCCCCAGAGCCATGGCCACAAACCCCTTCTCCCCCTTCACCACCAGCACCGCCACCCATCCAACCCAAAACCCACTGGCAGGCAGCGCTCCACTGAAGCTGCTGCTGCTGCTGCATGTTTATTTAATATTCTGAAGAAATTGAAATATCTTTGTGGGTTAACACACATACATACGCAATTACACATCACTCACCCGCACACACACGCACGCACGCACGCATACATTCACACACATTACCACCACAATATATAAATAAATAAAAGCCAAGCAATAACGTTCTCTTGATCTGTGGCCAACAGTAGAGTTGGAGAAAATCTTTTTCGAATGGTGTTTTTCAGAAGCGTATAGGGAGGAGCGTGAATGTCTGACATTGCATGTTGCCTGAGCCGTCGGCGTGTCTCGGACTGACTCCCACAGAGGAGAGAGAGTGTTGCCAAAGTGGTTGACAAACAACAAATAGTTCCCATGTGACAGGAACAGGGTAACTGGGACAAATAAATAGGCCCAAACATCTAAATGTGCCGGTAGATTCAAATGTCGGCTCCATCAAACATGAATGGCGTTGATTCTATAAAAAACTAAGCATTTCACATGTCAAGCAATTTAGCAATGAGTGTGTGGTCTGCAAATGAGAACACGTAGGCCTGAGGTGTTTGTGAAGTGCTAAATGAACAAATGTGCATGCCAGTCTTTTTCTGTGTGCGTGTATTCATACATGGGTGCGCGCATGCACACATCCATAATGACTTTCTGATCATTACAAAGCAATTCCTTCAGACAAAAATCCCTTAAACAGCCTCGGTTTTCGAGCTTCATGCTATCCCCCTCCTGTCTCCTCTCTCCTCTCTCCTCAACAGCCACCAACCGCTGCTGCTGCCAAAAATAACACAGGAGCGCCACTCGAACCCGCGCCTCACCACAGCACAGCTTGTCTGCAAGAGAAGGATCAAAACACACACAAAAAAGGAAACACATCATATTGTGGAAGGATGGAAAAAGAGCATTCATACAGCTCCATGCTTTGAGATATCTACTGATGATTTTGGCAACCAAAGAACCACACATACCAATGCGCCAGGTCAAGACAGGGAAAAGGAAAGTGTGTTTGTGTATGTCAATGTGTGCATACATTTCAGATGTACTGTAGCTGCTGAAATGGTATTCATTTCTGATCTCATTCAGTCAGTGATTCAACCACAAGCTCAATAAAAAAAAACACTAAATTATCACGTTATAGGTCAATAAATCCGGACCCTCAACTGACAAATGAAGACCCGGCGAACAAGAAGTATGAATAATGAGTAGGGGTACATTCTGGTCACAGTTAAATCATGGCTTTTTTATTGTAGTTTTGAGAGTTCAATTGGGAGACAACTTTACTCATTGTCATGGCCAGTTCACTTTGTGTTGCACTTGGCAAAATGTGCTTATCCACACTAACAGGGTGATGCCAGTGGATGAAGCCATCGGGGGCCAAGCTCTACTTCAACGGTGGCCAGCAAGGGTTTACAAGCAAACCATCATGGGATCAATTGTCGAGCCACGGAAATAAAGGAAGTGATGGAAAGGTGGAAAATGTACTGAAATATGTTATGGAAGTGCGGCTGAGAAGGAGGTTCTGAACTTGTGGCTCCAAATTATTTTAAGGGTCTGCACGACGAGTATTCACCAAGGCAAAGGGATCCAAACTAAGCAAAGACACTCCACCAAAATTAGAAATGTCGGTCCCTTAATCTGTTTCTATTTATACTATCAATAAATGCAACATTCCTACCAATCCACACACACAAAGGGTAAAGTTTGATCATGCCATGTAGGCTATATTAGGCTGTTGTCTTTTCAACCGATTCTTACTTGTATATTATTTCATTGTGTTTTATATTTTACAAAGTGTTGCACCACTTTGACCTGTAGCTGATTGTTGATTGGATCTGGAGCTTTCTATTTGATTTATTTGCCCTTTTAACTGCCTGATTTTATTTAATTGCATAATCTTAATCTTGATGTATTTACCCCCATGTAAAACCGTGTACCTTTATTTAGAAAAGTGCTGTATACATTAAGTTTATTGTAAATATAAAGATGATAATCTTTGTAAGTTTTTTGAGTAGACACACAACACTTAGTCTGGGTCCAAACCCTCGTTTTAAGCTGTAGCATGATCAGTCTATCAAACTAGTGTAACTTCCCGTCTTTCCTTGTTGGCCCTTTGCGGATATGACAGGTGTCAGGCAACCCAAGGCCCCACAGTGCCAACAAAGGCCCGTCAACGAGGCTGGTCAGATGGGTAGTTCAGTGACTGACTGTCGCCCTCTTCTGGTTCCTTTCGGTCACAACTAAAGATTGCACTGAGATGCCCAGAAAGCAATGAAAGTTGCAACAAATACTCATTCATTGCGGTAGCCTACAACTGAGAGAACCGTCCAGATCAACTCGCTATTCACGCAGAAACCATTATACATTGTAATAATGACTTATTCAGCCACAGAAGAAAGCGATGCAGGAACAACTAACATTTACAAAGGTACAGTTGGAACTCGCACTTCCTGGTACTTTTTCCATCCAATGCAGTCTTACAGCTGCAGTTTGCAGATTTCAGCTAGCTTTGCGGCTAGCTAGCGGCAATAAAACCAACCTTTTTTTAGTTACATTCATTAAGTAGCTTTGTTTTGTTTTTAATTAAGCAGTTCTTGCACTGACGTTAATGATGTATGAAACCGTATGATTTTCCAAAATATGTTTCCTCATGGTAAGTTACTGCCTTCATGTTAATTACATCAATTCTACTGTAACGTTACAGGCGAGGTACGTGCATTAAAACGTTACTTAGTTCTACTTTATGCTCAATTTAAAATAGACGACTTCTATGTTTAACGAAATGTTTTAGATTTATTTTTACACCTGCAAACTAAATCCTCCAGTCTGTTTCTATTCACCTGTTTCTGTTGTAATGAAAGCTGGATATTAGCACCTTGAGCCTCGCACACCGTCCATGACAAACTCGTTACTACAACCTTGCATGGATGTAACGGTAGCACCCGATGTCGGTGAGTCCCGGTGTTTAAAACGAGCCAACCTAAAGCGCCCACGGACCAATGAGAATTCGAGTTTCGCGGAACTCCGTCATACGTCATATCTGTGCTCCAACAGGACCCCGCTGCATTGTATCGGGGCGGAGGGGTCGTCTGCTCTTCACATGTTGTTGCCTCGTTATCTGTTCGGGAAAGTACCGTCTAATGAAAGCAAGTGGGGTGGGGATCAATCATCCGATACCGATCGGCTCTGTCTGCGTGAAATAGGGAATGAACGACGAGACAGCATCGGACAGCTGGAAGAGAAACTCCGGGTGCTCCAGGTGTGAAGCCTCACAGAAGCTAAGCTAGCATAGCACGTTGGCTAGCGGAGGGGACAGTCTGATGAGAGTCTGCCACAACACAGCTACTGGTTTTAATTTGGCTAACACACCGACACTTCGTTTATGTAAATCTAGACATGGTCATTAATTAAATCACTGTTGATATCTGTGCACTACTGATTTGCTGTTTAGACCCAGAGACCATGCTATTAGTGCATACAGCCCAAGAATAAACTTGATTTACAACACTCTGTAAATAGAGTACACAGTCCCCTAGAGAACGAGCTTGTAAGTAATAAACTGTCCAGATTATAGTTCATTTGGTTCAGCTAGCTAAAGCTCTGTTATTTAGCCCACCCATTGATAAAAGTGATAGAAACATCTGTCAATATAACACAACACAATTCAGCACCACAAACTCCAAAATGTAGATGCATTTAAATCAACACCCCCCTAAAACAGGTTCAACAAAAACACTGTAACCTTGTTGAAGGTAATATCCACTGCAGGACTGGCCTTTTCTTTGGTAATAGGATTGTTTCCCCACATTTTCTTCTATATTTAAGCTTTTTGTATGAATGAAATAATTAGTGTGACTTCTCCTAAAATCTGTACTCATTTATTTTACCTAAGATTTTGGAGTTGAGCTGCTGAGATTGCCACAATATGAAGGAGGTAAAGGACATTTTTAGTTTATGGTTACTTTCACAATTAGTCTCATAGATTTGAATAAGCTGGACATTGTTTCTGGGTAGACTGCACCGTTAATGCATTTTGAAAAGGGATTGTCTTGTGTTGGGCTGGTGTATTGGATATCTCAAAACCTTTTGTAATTTTGGTGAAGGGATTTGTAGTTGGGCTAGCCTCAGTTCGGCACACTAATGAAAGTATTTAATAGAGGGACTGTGAAAAAAGGATAAAAAGGAGAGCACATTTCTGAATTCAACAATCATGCTATAAAATGTGTCTTGAAAGGTATGAAGCTCTTTGTAAATGAATCAACCGTTGCTCAACAGTCCTTCTAATGCTGGTTGTTTTTTGTATCTAGTATTGAGCAAATGCTGGCTGTGAATCCCGGAAAGACGCCCATCAGTCTGCTGCAGGAGTATGGAACGCGGCTAGGTAAGACCCCAGTGTATGACCTGCTGAAGGCCGAGGGACAGGCCCACCAGCCCAATTTCACGTTCCGCGTCTCCGTCGGAGAGATCAGCTGCACCGGCCAAGGGCCCAGCAAGAAGGCAGCCAAGCACAAAGCAGCCGAGGCTGCTCTGAAGATGCTCAAGGGAGGTCTCGGAGGTCCCGTCGCAGTTGGTGTTGGAGTAGACAAGTTTATTGGGGTTGACGTGTCCACTGATGGGGACAGGTCAGTTTTTATTTAGCTTTGTTTTCTTCATGTCCCTAAAGCTAAAATGATACACAGACAGCGACTTTGGGGAGAACTTGTGGTAACATCAGCTGAACATCAGCCGATATAACATGTCAGTATTCAATGAATACATGTGAGATAGAGGTCTGTGGGTTTTCATTACTTCCTCTACTGAGTTTGCTCTATCTCATCTTCTGTACAGCTCCCAGTCAGAGATGAAGACCTCAGGCAGTTCTCAGCAGTCTGAATGTAACCCAGTAGGGGCTTTGCAGGTGAATATACAAGATACCTCGTGTAATTTACGGTTTTATTTTGCTGTTTGACTTTCAACTAATGCTGTTATTGTCATTACTTACTGTTGTTAAAAAAAAATCTGCCTGGTTTATAGTTGTATGCCTTTTTATAAGTTTTTCCAAGTTTTCGTCTGTGTACTTCTCTGCCAGGAATTGGTGGTGCAGAAAGGATGGCGTTTGCCAGAGTACACAGTCACCCAGGAGTCTGGTCCAGCACACCGCAAGGAGTTCACCATGACCTGCAGAGTGGAGAGATTTGTGGAAATCGGTAAAATGCATAATGTTTCATTCTTCGAGATTGTTCTGTATTTAAACGTTTCGTCACTGATCAAATCCACTTTCTGCAATATTTAGATTTTTGTTAACATGCCACACTGTCCTCATAAATACCTTGAAGTTGATCGTCAGGGATGAAACATTTAGGCTCTAATGAAATAAAGCTGATAGAAATCAGCTGAACTTGAAGAAAATCATATAAGCTGTCTCTTATAGGGGTGCTGAGAACCTGCTGACCTTCAACACATGAATTACAAGAGCATCGACTAAAATGGAAAATTTAAGAGCAAGACATAGATTAGATTAAATAGAGCAGATTTTATATCACTCTGCAGTTGCTTAGCTTATCATTGTCTGACTGAATGAATATCGGTCTCATCAACAATCCGTGATCATAACTTTAGCAACATTACTCAACATTTCTCAACCTGCTCTTCTCCAGGAAGCGGAACCTCCAAGAAGCTAGCCAAGAGAAACGCAGCAGCTAAGATGTTATCGCGTATACACGATGTCCCAGTCGACCTGAGGACTACCATCGACGCTGACGTGGAAGAAGACACGTTCAACATGGTGAGAAACAAATGGAAATCAACTCAATCTGTGCCCCAGTTGATAAATCCTGCATGTGACGTTACTCGGCACATAACAGGAAAGGATGCGCAGCACTGAATAACATGCAGATATTGTTTTTGCATCGCATAGTGCTCAATAATGTCTGCCAATGTCCTTCAAATGTTATGCAGGATACCATAAGCTATGCACCTGACGGCCCATCTCCCCCTTTTCTTACTCATAAATCTTAATAGTGTTTATTAACTGCTATGAACGTCACCTTCCCTGCACACACAGCACATGGGGAGCAAAGCTGAGACAGGCAAAAGTAAAGGCTTCAGCTGCACCTGGGACTCACTGCGTAACTCTGCTGGAGAGAAGATCCTCCAGCTCCGCAGCCACCCTCTGCGCATGCCCACTGACTCCAACTTCTGCTCTTTGCTGAGTGACCTGTCGACGGAGCAGCGCTTTGACGTCAGTTACCTGGATCTGGGTGAGTTCACATCCACAAACAGCAGCTCTGGAATAAATTACAATTGCATTCCCTTCTGCCGAGCATCAAATTGTGACTACAGTGGAGTTTAAAACTGATAAGTTAAAAGGAACGCGGACGTCACTGGTTACGTGTCTGCATGCATGAAGAGAAGCATTTTAGTTAGGAGCATGTAAATATAATGAGTTGGTTGAGATGACACTGTGCCTATGATAAACCATTCGTGTGCATATTTTTCACACTATCTGCACAAAAGTAGGACTTCAAAAGCATTATGGGTGCACATTGATGGCAAGATACTACAAAACAAATGCTGTGTGGTTACTATTACTGTCATCAGATATAGAGGAAGTAGCCCGCAGCTGCATGTTGTCACAGTTTAGTTCCGACAAAAGTGCAGAGTATTATTGATGTTTATTTGTTATTTGTGCTGGGTTTTGTTCAGGAGCCAGCAGTCAGGGAATTCTATATTACCTTACTTATGTTCATATAATTTATCAAATAAACATGGATCAACACATTATAATTGTACTGAGTACTACTACCAAATATTCACTAGTTTTTCTGAGTTTTACAGCATTAAAATGCGTTATGGGTAACTGTCATTAAATTACCTTATCTTCTACAGAGAATATAATGTTTTAATTTATATGAAAATAGTCAGTAGTTGCAGTCTACTACTTAGCACATTTTCAAACACTAAAAGAATAACGCTGCAAATGAATTATAGCTGATATCTAGGTTAGATTATTATTATATTATAAATTATAAACTGACTTTTTTATGGTAAGTAAGAGTATGAAAGAAGAGTCTTAACTGTCAAATCCCAAATCAAATTTGTTTTGGAAATTATAGCTGTAGGACTGTCCTCGACTAAAGAGACTCTTAGATCTAGACATTTTATTGATTCATTTATTTAATTGACAGATCCGTAGAATGAGTTTCCCCACAAAGAATCACAAAAAAGCACCATTTTAAATCATGTGTTTACAAATGTTTCAAATCTTGCTGAACAAAATCGATGTTAAAAATGACTCTTGTTTGTTTTTGTTTCAGAGGAGCGCAGTCTAAGTGGCCTGTGCCAGTGTCTGGTGGAGCTGTCCACACAGCCGATCACAGTGTGCCATGGCTTTGCTCCGAGCATAGATGCCGCTCGAGCCAATGCGGCCCACAATGCACTGCAGTACCTCAAAATCATGGCCGGGGGGAAGTGATGTTATCTTCCTGCGCACAGACTCTCTTTTGCCAGGATAAACTTCCTCTTCGGACGATGGAGGCACTTTTTGGATTGAGTTCAAATAACGCAAATTACCTCAAATGTGGAAATAGAGACTTTTTCTGTCCCCAAATTGACCCCCGGAGCCACATGGATTTCTTATTGTTGCCCATGAAGATTTAGTTGCCCAAAAACTCATGTACCCCTCTCCTTGACATTTTGCATATTTGTCACAAATTACTTTAAAAGGCATTTTTAGTGTTTTCAGTCATCTATAAGCAGCACTGTATTTTCCTAAATATCTCACGTCTTTGTCTGAAATCATAAATGGTGCTCTTGCAGTGAGTTTCCAAATAACTGCAGACAAATTGTGATGCAACAAAAGGTCAAAGGAGCTTGTAGAAATCGTGCTGTGGAATCGACGAGTATTGGTGCTTCGTTTAATCCAAGATCAATGAAGGATGAACGGAAGAAAGAAATTCCAGCCATGTGCCGAAACGTGGAGAGAAAAGGACTCTGCTGAAGAGATCAGAGGATCATTATTTTAAAGACTGCCCTGTTTTCAGATGAGCTCGTTTGAGAAAATGTGTATTTTGTTGTATATTAATCTGGACCATAAAAACTGTTTGTCCCATATTTTCTTTGTCTAAAATTAGGACCTCATAAGGTTTTTTTGAAATTAAAATTTTATAAACATATACCCCTTTGGCACTCCCAATGTAGAAATAGTCAGAAGGATCAAGAGACTCGGATGACTGAAAATTATTGATTGATGAATTGTGAATGAATGAATGAATTGTGTGCAATGTTGCCCCTTTATAAACTTCCTTGTTGGTTGGGTTCATGTTGATGGCTTTCAGAGCAGCAACTGATAAAGTAGTCATAATGTGTGTGTCTTTAATCGTGAGGATAACATTACAATTCAATTAATAATCCCAGTAACTCGGGAATTTGCAAAAAATAAATAATTAAGCACAGTTTTGAAATTACTATTTTTCAAAAACTCTTCTTTTAGCACACAGATTTTGTTCAAAGAGTAAATCCATTTCAGTGTAAGACAAAGACAAACAGGGAGAAAGTACTGTGAATCTTCTGCTTTGTTAATTACTTTTGACTTTCAATATCACAGACCAAACAAAGAACCTACATATTATGTGGAGTCTTGATGTTTTTTGTGTCCATTATGCCTGGTATTGTTTCATTTATAATCTGAACCCTTCTGTCAATGTGACTATGATTCCTGTAATGATGTTTGAAAATTGATGATGGTGAATTTCCAGATTATTTTCTCCAACTACTTGCTGTGTCTTGGTGTAAGGGTTCGTTACCACCCACCTTGCACTCAGCTGGAATATGTATTGAAAATAGTGGACAGTTTGCACTACTTGAAAAGATAATGTCCTTTGCACAATGCAGGCTGACCGAGTTTCTGTACATCTCCCACCGGTGAGTTTGGTGTTACCTCATTCTCTGAAAAGTCAGATCTGCATCTTGTTTTTCTGATAATTCAAAAAAGGAAGTTTTGCTGTTTTTTTTACGAGTTTTAGTTGCTGACACCATTGACAATATATTTGAGATAGACTTCTTTGTTGTGGTAGTAGTAACAGTTTTTAGAGAAACAATGAACTAAAATGTGAGCTCCATTGAATTTGTTTCCAATAAAAAATTTTTGTACATTTTACTGCCAACTGTTGAACATGTCTGACTCACCAATTGAATTGCCATTTAAATAAAGTATGGTCCACACAGTACTTCATCAAGACAGTTTTACTATATTATTACTTATTTACAATGTTCTATATTCTATATGAGCACTGGGGGGTAACTACATTTTAACGTTATTAACATGGTGTTCAATCATCTGCTTAGTGTGTTCAGTGAGAGGATGACTTCTTCGTCTGCGTAGCCGCTGCTGTCTGACTGCATGCTGTCGCCCCGGACCACCTCACCTACACAAGGACACAAACACTCAGGCAACAACTCCATGCACTGTATACCGCTGCACACGTGCAGAACAGACACATGTCCCTAGTGACAAATACACATGCTCACACGTACATACTATGACGCGTAAACACGTGCTCACACGTACATACTACGACGTGTAAACACGTGCTCACACGTACATACTATGACGCGTAAACACGTGCTCACACGTATATACTACGACGTGTAAACACGTGCTCACACGTACATACTATGACGCGTAAACACGTGCTCACACGTACATACTACGACGTGTACACAGGTGCTCACACGTACATACTATGATGTGTAAACAGGTGCTCACATGTACATACTATGACGTGTAAACAAGTGCTCACACGTACTGTACATCCTTTTCTATGCATTTGTCTAAACTATTGAGGTCTACACATCATTTCGGACGTGGTTACGAGACCTTCAGTGGGCCTGAAGTATAATACTCAAGTTTAGCAAGAAGTTTTACACATACACATTTCTGCAAACATCCTTATATAAACTGAGGACAACCTTTTCTTCACACATTTAGAACTGTGTGAAGGCTGTTGTTGTGAATACAGCTGTCGTGAGATCACATTTTCACCACACGATTAAAAGATTACACGATAACTATGTTATCGCGCTTTCTATGAAAAATTAGAGAGAAAAAAAGAATTACCTTGATGTCAATTTCTATGTACGCACATTGAGAGCAACAAAAAACAGTCAAATTCCATGTATGTTTATACTTACAGCTGATTATAATTCTGATCTGATTCTAAAAATGATGACAAGTCATGTACCTGTAAAATAGGAAGTGTAACAAAGCAGCAGTTGTAACTACCATCTATGACCTGTGTTTAAATAAAAAACGTCATTCACACAAATAAAATATAAATGTACCTTTGTATTGAAGTTCTTTGGACAACTGGGAGGTTGTTGTTCTTGTAGTCTCTAATTGTCCAAAATCTTCCTCTCCTGCACTGTGCACCTGTAGAGACAACAGGTATGAATATGTTATGTATCATTTGTCTACCATTAAAAATACCATAGAAAATGATACACCATAAGGGCTGAAATGTTTTTTAAGCATTGTTCCATCATTTACGTCACAATGTATGCTTTTAAACATTTAAACCCATTTTCTGATAGAATACCAGTGATTCATTTCTAATCTTAAATACGAACAGTTCAATATATCGTTTACTGTTTTTCTTTTCAAGCATGCTTTGCCTGCACAAAAAAATCTAAATAATTCAGATTTTGCAATTTTAGCATCTAACCTAGGGAAGTTCAGGGAGAAGAAAGAAACTGTCTGAAACAAAGCGGTTTAATCAAAATGTTGTGGAGCACACTGTGGGGAGAGTGCTTTGCCACTGTCGACACAACACAAGGCAACTGAATGAATTAATTGCACCATTACCCATAACACCACACCAAAGAGCAGTGTATAATGAGCCAGAACCAAACACCACGCACTGAGGGGAGAGCATATTTTGCAAGAATAACTAGGATGATACAGAACAATATATCAAATGTCCTGTTTTTTGGCAAATTCTTTCTAAGCTTGTAATTAGTATCGTGATGTTTGTGGACTTTTACCTAGACTGATGGGTGAGTATTTCTTTAAATTGCCAAGTTGAGCCAACCATAAAATGTTTGTCCTATTTTCTGCTAAATCAAACTAATCATGGCTTGTCTGATTAATTATTCCCAAAGGGAACTACAGAGGTAAAATACTTCTTTGTCTGGAGAAATGTTGTTTAATATATAATATTACTACTTTACCTCCTCCAGCTCAAAGGAGTTAACCTGTTGCAGGTTTTTGGAGTCATGCCCGTGGCCCTGGTGTGTCTGTGGATTCAGGTACCGGCTTTTCCCCCTGTTAAATGGCTCCTCACAAGCCTGGGCAGGTGGGACAGTAGAGACGTCGTCCCCCTCCGAGCCAGTCACAGTGATGCAGCACTGGGCGTAGCTAGAGGCCAGGACAGGGAGTGACCTGGATGCACTGAGCTGTCCGGCATCAGGCTCAGAGAAAGCGGTTTGTACATTAGGTTTATGCGATCCAGGACATGATCTATCTATGCTCCCAGTCTCAGAGGAGATAGGAGGTGAGGTGTTTGTTTTTGCACTATGTGTGTGTTGACAGCAGAAAAGCGCCTGGTGTACACTCTCCACTATCTGCGGGCAGATTAGATCATGTGTAACCTTGGCAAATGGTTTCAGATCAGTAGTCCTTGTGTCACTTTGAGTTGAAATAAACTGATTATCTGTTTCTATCACAGTTTCTCCTGACGATGACGCTAGAGACGTTCGTTCGATGTGGGTCCTGCTGTCAAGGTCTCCTGGTTTGACGCTATTTTCATTGGCATCAACATTATCTGTTTGTTTACTGCCCTTCATCTCCTTATGACGGATTGTATTTCCATTTTGAAGAATGTCTGTGTCCACCGCGGTCAGCTGTGTTTGCTCCTCTTTCCCACTGTCACAGCATTTATCACCATCCATGACCAGCCTCACATCCACAGCTGATTTATTCCAATTATTTACCCCCAAATCCAGTTTCTTGGTGGCTCCAGTCTTGACTTTCTCCATGACTATTTCCACAACATCAGGGAGGCTGGCCCTCTTTCTGGGCGAGGGCTGTGGGGAGGTGGAGTCTGATCCCCGGGAAGAACCTGTGTAGAGACACATCTTGGAGACAGTGTCCTTCAGCCTCTCCACAGGAGAACGTGGCTCGCTGCGGACGCCGCTCCTGAAGCGTTCGATCCTCTCCACAGGAGACGAGGAGAAGGTAAACTCTGGTGTGGCCAGTTTCTGTAGAGGGGTGCGGGACACGTGAGAGTAGAGGGAGTAGAAAGCGTTGGCCATTGCTGTGAGCACTTGCACTTGTCTGAAACGACCTGTGGAAAGAATGAAATGTAAATTAGATCAAGTAATATAGATCTCATAACCAACATCCAAGAGTTATTTATTCTCATCACCCACCACACAGTAATGTACAATTCAAAATACAAAATATCTCCATAGTCTTACTAGCAAGAGAGAGGCTGGGGTCTTCTTCTCGAATCCGCCGTAGCTGTGAGTCAAGGAAGAGGCGGAAGTTGATGCCCTGAGACAGAGAAGGGAAGGTGAAGAAGCGCGGAGGGATGCGAACAGTGACCTGCGGCTCATCGCGGCCGAATCCCAGCTCGTACAGCGTCTCCTCAGCATCCTCCGCACACAACTGCAGGATCTCCGATATGCTAGTGTGCATGTGGGAAAAAAAGAAAATATATGGTATTTTTATTCCTGTTAAAAGCTTTTTGTAAAGACAATTGAGTCAAATTTGTAATTTGTTTTATAAATACAACTCAACGTGTGTAATGCCTATTAAGAAAATTGCAAAGTGCTTTACAAAAAATGTAAACCAATAAATAGAAATGAAAACAATAAAGAATAAAGAAAAAAAAGGATGCAGTACTTTTAAATATAATTAATATGTAAATATGTATTATTCAGGTATAAACAAGCCAGAAAAAAAGATAAAAGGAGGAAACTGAAACCTGTAAGTTGTCAAGCAGGTCATTCAAGAGCAAAGAACCTCGTTAGCAGTCTTACAGAATAATAAAGATTTGAAAGGTTTCGAAGCTTCACCTTGATGTACTTGTGCAGGTGGAGGAGGAGAGGCAGCTGGAGGCCATGCTGTGGCCCAAGTTCAGCAACGGCGGACATAGTCCCTGACGAGGGGTACTGTGAACAAGACAGGTGAGAAGTTGAAGAAACACACAGTAATCTCAAGTCCCTCTTAAGTATCTTATTAATAATGCACAACCTATAGTTTGCTTGGAATAGTTAATTTCCTTAAGTGAAAAATAAAACGTTTCTTTTGTTGTTTCTTCTGTTGTTTTTCTTTGAGCTGAGGTAAAAGAATTTGTCCACTGACCTGGTGAGTCTGCTGGGACCTTGTTTGGAGGAAGGATGCTGTGCGACGCTTCATGAGAAGAAGAAAAAACGGAACAGTCCATTCTTCAGTATTGATTTAGTATATTCAGAAACTAAGTCACCTCTTCGAATAGTCTTTAATTTCAATAGAGACAGCCGCAGTAAGAAGGGGTGTAACATTATGACATTAAAAGATCAGTGTAGAGACTCAGCTGTTAGTGTGGATGAGTGGGGGAGTTAAATTGATCATGCATTTTGGACCGGAAGTGTAGCTCATATGCCTCTTAGTCTGAATAAACGTGATAAACATCAAAGACAGTTCATCTCTCTCCTAAATTAGTTCTGTTATTTTGTGTAAAAGGGGAAATTGAGTTAAAAACACAGTCAATGATTAAAGCAACATGGATTCATATTAACTAACAAACACTAATTCAATAACAGGACATTCCTTGTTTCTTATTGTTTCACTATTACCGCAACATGAGAGTACAGTTGCTACTCACCCAGCTTTAGATGTACTCTCTCCAACGTTTAACAAAGAAGCTGAAACAACAAAGAAATCATTCCCGAATAAAAAAACAAGTCGCTTTTTTTCTAATGTAAATACTGTATGTGTATGTATAAGCGTGGTTACATTTCATATTAAAAACAGAAATCTTTTATGAATCGTTACATTTTGAGATGGGAACGTTCCACCCTACACTTTCCCTTCTCAAAAAGCATCCTCCTTGGCAAAGGTACAGTAATACTGCTTAACACTGGACTGATATGCACAGATGGGTCAGGCTCTGTCACCACTATTACAAACAGAACAAAGGAAAGCTTGAGCAGATGATGCACATTATGATTCACACCTCATTTTCCTATATGACATTTCCTGCTTTGTTACATTCCTTTGCGTGTGTGTGTGTGTGTGTGTGTGTGTGTGTGTGTGTGTGTACTTACCATCAGCACCAAGACTAAGCTCATCGACAAAGTTGTTGGGTTTCAGCACAGACTCTGAAGAAAAGACACAGTCACTGATTTAAGTAATTTCATACATGGTTCAATATTATCTTAATTTGCTGAAATTGTTAACTGAAGAACGGACAAATTCCTGTTTTGAAATCTTGTTTGTATGTGTCATTGGTTGGAAAGTACGTATTTACTTGAGTACTTAAGTATAAATGTGAGGTACTTGTATTTCCATTTTATGCTACTTTATTCTACTCCACAACAATTCAGAGGAAATGTACTTTTTACTCGACTATAGTTATATGACAGTTTAATTTACAGATTAAGAATAAATTTACAATGAGTTTATCAAATATGATGCACTGTTATAAGTACTCAATAGTATGCAAAGAAATTGGCTCCATCTTGACCAGCTACCACAGTATAATGCGACTCCAATGTTATAAAGAGCAACAGCATAACAATGATATTGTATTTTTACTTTTGATACAGTAAGTACACTGCTGATAATACTTACATACTTTTACATAGTAAGTGACATTTTTGATGCAGGACTTTTACTTTGCTGTAATGGAGTATTTTTAAATTGCACTAACGGCTAGTTCCTCCACCACTGCTGGTGTGTATGAACATGTTAAGGACAATCTTCAATTGTACACATTTAAGTTTATTTGCATTTACCACATGCAACAATAAATATGTCAGATGCATCACAGATTTGGTAAATGGTACATTTTGTTTCAGTTGGTATACTCACCAAAACTCAGCTGACTGTTCTTATCTGGCCTGTAAGATATATGACAATATTTAATGCATGAATACATGTACACAGTGTTATTTGTATGCTTCTTCTGACAAATAACTAAGTCATTGCGTTTGCATATGCCTCATCTGTACGATAGCATAGCTACAAAGCAAGCTTGTGAGATTGAATCCATAATCAGCTCTCAACGGGCTGCTAATGTTTGTCAACTTCCTCTTGTGGAAATGTTCACTTGTTGAGCAGCACGAAGGTCCACACCTCCCAACCGATCTGGTCATTTTCATGTTGAGTTCTCAGAATGCATAAAACATCACGCCACTCTTTAGATGTTGACATGCAGTATTTAGCACATCACTGACTACCAGTCCCCTTCTCAGTGACTGAAATAAAAGACAAACAGTTCCATAACAGGAACTGTTATTTCCTTCTTGTTATATAGTAATATTACTCTCAACCACAGAGACATACGAATCCAATTAAGTTGTTAGCTTTCTTGGTGAAACAGTGTTGAGATTGGAGAACTTGTTGAAATGTCTGCATCATATCCTGACACTTTCTTTTTTAAACCATCAACATTGCTGTGAAATGTTGTCTGCATCCTCTCATGGCCTAGAAAGACATCTGATGTGTCATTTAACACCGGCAGATCTCACTTCGGAGCACTCTAACATTATGGTTTTGAAAAACTAAAATAAGCCAAATTTCCAAACGTAACTTTAAAAATACCTCATCTCAGGCTATTGTGGTGAAAACAATACTGTGGCGACTTTACCCCGTCATCTTCCTGGAACACCTGACCTCAGAGAGTTTCCACTTGTCTACTTTACTCTATTGTTTGTTTAACCAGTTTCCAACAAGTGACACCTTGTCCTTCAGAGGCCGTGCTCAAAAAAGCATCATCTTACAAAAAAGAAAACAAGTAGTAAGGCGAGTTGACTCACCCACAACCCTGGAGCCAGTTCTCAATCTTTCCTGTGAAGCATCCTGTGGAAATTGCACATGTACAACACTTAGCTTTGTGAGTAATCTTCATTAAATAAACAACTCTTTAAGTTTTTTACTCTTTCACGTTTGCCTTTTTTTTTCAGAAAAACATGCATAATGTAAATACTAACTTTAAAATGTTTCTGTAATGAAGAACTGGAACCTGTGATCGCATTGATATAATATGGCATCTATTTCTAAAAGAAGAAGTAATCCATGTTTTATATATGTACCACTTTTCAGTTGGGCCATTTGACATCACACTGGGCATCAAATCACCAACTACTTCTCCTAAAATCTATGCTTGATCATCATGGGCATCTTTCAGCTCAATTCACCTGTGGTTACATAAACTGTGGACACATGGGCGGATCCCTCACGCTCTCCTCAGTTTGGACCTACCGTCAGAAAAGACATCGTCGTCAGCTATAGAGGCAGAGGGGAGGTTGCACAGCGGTCCGTCGAGGTCCAGCTCCTCCAGAGTGGGCCACTGTCGGCTGCTGTTGATCCAGGCTCGCCGCCTCACTGTGGACGACGGGCTCTCCATCGCCTCAGTTCACAGACAGCCGGGGAGCAGGGTGGGGTCGAAGCTACTGAGGAACAAGGACAGGACAGTATAGTTTCGTTGTTTTCGCTGAGGTTTGGTTTAAAATGCTGAAAACTGTTTTACAATGAAGTCTGTAATATTCACTGTTCTTGTGCTGGAATCCTTTATCAGTAGAGTTGAACTTCTCAACAGAATGCTCTCTCATAAAATGTATTATTTTACTTGGACAAGCCTCTGATGCAGCAGACTATATGGTGTGACACTACAACTAATTCATATTTATTATTTCACATGGATTAGTAGCTACCACCACTTTAGTTGAAGAATTACTCCATTACTCCACACCATATTTTAAATGAATATTTTCCATCAAAACACATTACGAAACAATTAATCAGGTTCAGCTTTAGGGTCAGGTTTCAGTTACAATAGGTCAAATTAAAGATTACCAACATAAATAAACATATATGGGCGACTGTGGCTAAGTGGCGAGCGGGGCCGTCCTTCAATCAGAGGATCGGTGGTTCGATCCCCCAGCTCTGGCTCCGCTAGTTGCATGTAGATGTGTCCTTGAGCAAGAAACTTAATCCCAAAAATTGCTCCCGTAGCTGTGCATATGGTGTAGATATGTGATGGAATCTGAATTGTAAGTCGCTTTGGATGAAAGCGTCTGCTAAATGACTGTAATGTAATATATACCTGTGTGGGTGCATGAAAAGTTGTCAAGTTGTGTTCAAATACAGTGCATATAAAAGAAGATACACTGTATACTCAGAAGCTATAGAACATGATGTGAGGTGACTTCCAGTAAAAGAGGACACACATTGACAGATAGATCCATTTATACCAAGATTTGCATAAACATTACATAATATAAGCCCAACCAGCCAGTTAGTTTTGAATAAATATAATTATGATGGATAGATCAAAACTAGAATGAACTAGAATTATCTATACAGATACATGTTTGAAAATAGGGACGTTCCACACTTTTTGGTGATCATGAAAGTGTTTTGTATTGGTCTAATGTCATCAAAATTACATTTTGCTCCATATCCAGCGAGGAAAAGGTGTCCGGTTATTAGTAGTAGTAGTATTAAGTAGTCCTGCTCAGAGTTTTCCAAACACATATTTAAAACTAAATAGCGAGTGAACTTGAGAGAAGAAAAGCAGCTTTACCTTCATGGACGCAGGTTTCAGTTCTGTCAGCGTCGCGCTCTCTCTCTCTCTCTCTCTCTCTCTCTCCCTCTCTCTCTCTCTCTCTCGCGCGCGCGCTTCCTGTTGTCGCGGGCTGAGGTATCTGAAAGTGATCTGCAATCTTTCGCAAACTCTCGAACGGCATCCAGTCTGCTCTAGTTTTCAATGATTGCTTCACGGCAACGAGTTTCTGGTTGTTTCTTCCGATTCGTGTCAGCTGCCCTGCATGTGCGGTGCGGATCCTCACAGGGGATGGATGGACGTCTGAGCAGGCAGACTGGAGGAAGTGATCGGTTTATATCGCAGCATGCAGAAACACAAGCTGAGAGACTGAATAGGTTTTTGGCAGAGCAGCTCCCACATGACGCGAACATGTTTATTTATTTTCTTTGTCAAAAAATAATGAATTTATAGTCCATACAAGACATATTCTCAGCAGCTTTTTAGTTATTATTTTTTTCTTAGATGTCTACCTTCAACCCATGAGAGTTATATGCTTGATTTGTTAAGCTTATATCTGATATATCATGTGTTTGACACACATCTTTCTTTATATTTTCTCTTGGCTCTGAAGGGAAGAGTCATCTTTTCTTTTGCAACAGCAGCCATTTATAGCATTTTTAATGAAAGCTTATGCAAATAGAAAAAGAATAAAGAATATAGACTTCCTACTGACAGTGTAGGGAAGTAACAAGTGCTTTCACTCAAGTACAGCTTACTTTAGTACAATTGTGAGGTTTAAGTTACTTTAGTTGTATTATTTATATTTTATGGTACTTTATACTACTTCCCTATTATACTATTTACACCACAATGTGTTTGACAGTTGAGGTTACTCGGATATAGGGCTTTAGACATTTTGACATGTCACAGTAGGAAAAGCACATGTAAATGAGAAAATGAAAGTTAGCTGACTTCCATTTAGTGGCCTCAGTTCCAGGGCCCTTGTATTGTGCATGCTGCCTATCTGTGACACTGTCATGCTGGGACCTTTTAATACAACAATGTAATGTTAATGTTATTAACACCTGTGCTTCCCAATATCCGCTGTTAAAAAGGCTTGCTGTACATACAAAACGATTACGCTTATAAAATATGATGCTTTGTTATGATTAAACAACCCAACAATGTAGAAAGTAATTAAAATGAGCTCCATCTCAACTACAAGAGTAGTATGCTGGTTTCATGCATCAGTAATAATGAATGCATAACACAGTGGGGCATTCTTGCTGACCACTCCAGTCACTTTACCTTGTAACTTTGTCTTTAACTGCTCTTGTATAATTTCTATTGTTACTTTTATTGAAGTTGTATATACCTGTTATTATTTTTAAATGATTTATTTTCTTATTTCTGTCTGTGGCTACTCACACTTTTAATACTTATTCTTATTTTTCCTAAAGGATCTAAATACTTCTTCCACTGCATAAGGGTGTTAATGGAAAGTGCACTGGCAGCCAGATGTTGTAGGCCTTTTGGCCCATTGAAACAACATATTGTTTGACTTGATTTCGCGCGTGTGTGTGCGTGTGTGCGCGCGCTACTGTTGGAAATAAATAATAGAGGAATAGTAATTTCTATGACTAACTGTAGTAACATCAGGCCTGCTGGCCTGTGGATGGACTCCACCCTCTGTCCTGTTTACATGGGCACATGTGCTGCTTCACCGACAGCCCACTCGCACATCCCAATAATAAAAACCCTCCTACAAGCGAGCCATTTTCTCCACCCAGCGCGGTTACAGCCAGTGTTCGAGTGTGATAGGGTCTCTTCTCCTCCACCCTGGCGGACTCCTCCCGCCTCCTTGCTGTTTCCCAGCCCACAGGACGCCACCAGGGAGTGGCCAGTGGCCACGGAGGCAAGACTTAAATAGCCAATCCGCCTTCCTCCTTCCCCACCTCCGTGTCCAAAGCAAGAGATGAACCATTGCATCTTTAAACTTTCGTTTGACAAGACAATATCACAGAATGAGTGAAGAGAAATATCAACATTTACGATAACACGTTTACTCATGGCGCCAGTTAAGCGGAAAACAGATAACCCAACGTCAATCATACTCAGGGAGACAACCTACCATGCTTGGTCCCGCCCAATTCTCCGCCTTTGAGACAATTACATTGGCTAGTTGATCCCCGTTGGCAGAAACGACCTCCTCCATTGGAGGAAAGCAGCGATCCTACCCACGTAGCTCCCAGAGGGGTGCGCTTCTTTTGAGTGAAGGGAGAACGCGATAGTACAGTAAACCAGTGCGAAAATACATTATTATTGAGTCTTTTCATATTATTACCAAAGAATAAGGTCTGGACACGTGGTTTGCTATTCTCCGTTTCTTGCTAGTTTTAACTACTGGATTAAATTGAATCATGCTAAATTAAGTGGTAAATCTAAGCCGCATGACGTGATGATGATGAATTTGCGTTGACGTAGTTAACGTTATAGGCCTATTGATTAACTACATCCGTTGATGAGGATTGTGTGATGTGGTTGAAAGCTCAACAAATCTAGAAAATTAGCCTTGAGTCAATATTACTTTGTAAATCTATACCGCCAACGTTTAAAATTAAAAAGTGTAAAAGCTATTTGCTGGTCTTTGTTCGAAGGTGGCGGGCTACGTGGGTCCATAAATCGAGCGCACCTGTATGTCTCCTTCATAGGGGGAGCCTGTCAAGTTTGTGTGAAGTTGTGAAAAGTTGTCAACCCGAAAAAAAAGAGCAGAGAAACTCCTCCCGTCTTCAAATTATGAGCAGTAAGTGAACTTTTCAAACTCAGTGGCATGTTGTGAACGAAGCATTAAGTTAACAATTAGAAGTATAATTAAAGTACATATTTAATATGTATTATCTGCTGTAAGTATGTCATTGTATTGTTTTCTAGCTCGCGTCTCGAGCAGTTTTGAAAGTGACCAACTGGCGTTACTTCACTGCTAATTGTCGATGCTCGGCTAACAATATTTAGCCAACTAAGTAGAGCTAGCTTACTGTGGAACAATAACTTCTGTTCTTAATTTAAACTACATGCTTACACAATAATTTACCATCAGCAATTCACTTGTGCTAGCTAAGTAGTATTTTGTAGTCCAGTTGAAACATGACAGACTCTTTAGCTAATACTTAACGTTACAGTTTTACTGAACATTACTTGTTGTGTTCATGTTAGCTTAGCTAACAGGCTAGCTGGCCCTTACGAGCACTTGTGGCTTGGATTTCCCAGCATTTCTGCCCGTAATTGTTTAACGTCAGACTGTTCATAAAGTTACGTTATTTGTGTGAGGTCGACCGTGTGTATAACGCGAGTGTGTTTTCTCCTCGTTGTTGAACGTTAACAGTTTGATGGTCTGCTTGTTTCAAATGTAGCAACTTTAATAGAAGTGATCTTACAAACTCTTCTTCCGCAGATCAGCAGCAGGGTGAAATGGCCGCTGTGGAGAGCGGTGGAGGCTACAGTCAAAAGCGAAACACCAACTCGCAAGTAGGTTTTCACTTTCCCTGTTTAGCCGAATCAGATGATTGTCAACCGAGACACATTAAGTGTACTCTCCACTCATACCACTGCCCGTGGTATTTATGCCCTATTGCCGTGAGTTAGTCAGATTCTGTCATCCGAACAGAACCTGTACGGGTTGTTGATTTTCTCTCCAGAGCACATGTCACCGGGGTGGGGAATGGGCAGGTAGAGTTCGCCCACACGGGGTGTTCCCGTCAAACCCGGGCACTTGATGTGCATCTCGCTCGGCCCATTTGGCTGGCCTTGGAGGGGGTGGCTAGAGGACTGTGTCAGTTTATAGGGCAAAATAAAGTGTGGGAGGGAGATGGGTGGGTTTGGGGGGAGGGGAAACAAAAAAAAAAAGATGTGGTCCCTCCCATACTCTCCCACACTCTCCCACCCTGCTTCCCCTCGGTCTCCTCGCTACAGCCCCTCTCCATGTGGAGTTTAATGTTATGAATGGCGTTCTGGGTGTGTGGCACTACAGCATGGTTTGCTTTTCATTTACAAAGCCAATCACATGATTTATCTTGTTGTATTTCTATTGAAATCTAAACTACATAATTAAAAAAAAAATCAAATTCTAATGTTCATATTAATTCCAAATTGTCCTTTGGCCGTTATAGTTTAGGCCCGGCAACTTCGGATCTTAATATTTTGAATTACTTATGTAATCATCCTGCTTGATCTTCTCTAGTTTATATTTTACTCTGCTGTTTTACTGTAAATAAAAGTGCTCTGGAAATATTGTTAGCATCACTATATTGGTATTAATTTCCTTTAGTACACTAATTTAAACTGCGTCACTAGATTTATAAATGAGCATTTTTACACCCATTTATATACATTTTCTCACTGCTGCAGCATTAACATGTATATGGGATTTTAAGATGTATTTAAAACCATTTTTTAAAATAATTTCCTTCTCTTCTCTTATACTTTCATGTATTCTCTTTCCAGGACTCGCAGCAGCCATCTCCTCTTGCCTTGTTGGCAGCCACGTGTAGTCGAATTGACACCCCAGGAGAGAATGATTCACCTGCAGACCAACATCAACAAAACCAGCAGCAACAGCTGGAAATAAACCAGGGTGTTTTCACCTCCAGTGCTAACGGCTGGCAGGTTATCCCTCTTAGCGTTCAAGCAACCTCAGGCACTAACACCATCACCACCGACTCCTTAGGGGTGATGACAGCAGACATGGGCAAGAGTAGACAGTTGCTGTCACCATCAGCAACTGTCGTGAGTACTCAGGGACAGCAGCAGCATCAGCAGCCACAGCAATATGTAGTAGCTCAGGCTCCATCGATGCAGGGTCAGCAGATGCTTACCGCCATATCAGGTATGATGCCCAACATCCAGTACCAGGTTATTCCCCAGTTTCAGACAGTAGATGGCCAGCCACTGCAGTTGGCACACGCTCAGCAGGATTCTGCTTTAACTGCTGCTCCAGGCCAGCAGTTTCAGCTAGTGTCATCTGCTAATGGCCAGCAGATCATAGCTGCAACCAACAGAGCTGGTGCTGCAGGAAACATCATAACGATGCCCAGTCTCCTTCAGGGAGCCATCCCCATACAAAATATAAGCTTAGGCAATGGCATGTTACAAACCCAGCCCCAGTTCCTGGCAAATATGCCCGTGTCACTAAATGGAAACATCACTTTTTTGCCCGTCAGCACTGGAACAAGTGGAGGAGATGCAAATGGTGGAGGGGATACAGGGGGAAACCAACTTATACAGCAACATCCAGTGTCCAGTGGGGCAGGTTACATGACGAGTGCGTCCACTCTCACCACACAGGCTGCCTCTTCATATGGAATGACTCAAACTCAGAACAGCAATGGAGTGTTGACGGGGACATTCCAGCAGAACACAGTATCTTCTCTGGGTGTCCCGATACAGCCAGACAACAGAGACGGGCAGCAGCCACAACAAATCCTCATCCAGCCACAGCAGGTTATCCAAGGTGGAACATCCCTCCAGACCATCCAGGCCGGTACTGTTGCGACCACTGGGGCTCAGGTATTTGCGACTCCGACACTCAGCCAGGAAGGGCTTCAAAATCTTCAAATTATGCCGAATACAGGCCCCATCCTCCTGCGCACCGTAGGCCCCAATGGCCAGGTGAGCTGGCAGACCATTCAGATCCAGAGTCAGGCAGGACCGCAAATCACGCTGGCCCAGATGCAATCTCTCCCCCAACTTGGCCAGACTGCTTCTGCAGGTGGGGGAGTTTCTGTCAACACAGTGCAAATTCCAGGCATCCAGACCATAAATCTCAACACACTCGGAGGTTCCGGGCTGCAGATGCACCAGCTGCAGACTGTTCCCATCACCATCGCTAGCTCAGCAGGTCAGTCAGTAGCCAGTTTTTTAGGAATAATTAATGTTCTTTGTAAAGTAATGCATTTATATTTTGAAAAAGTGTCCTTTATAAATAAAGAGTATATTAAACATTTTGAAGGACTAAATGATGCAATCCTCGTGCAGGACTGTCAACATGTTTGTAATTCAAATGTTAATATGTTATTTTGACTTTGCCTTTTGATTATGTCTACCAAAGTTATTTTAGGCAAGGATAATAACCAACAACTATTATAATACAAATTAAAGGTTCAACTTGACATTAACTGGGGCTGAGTAAATATGTTAAATGGTCTTGATTTGTTTGTTGACATCTCCCTCCCCCCCCCAAGGACTGAAATGCAGAGTATCTTGTGTCTCTGGATTTGAACTCTTTTGTGTGTGCACTATACTGGTGTAACCAGTTCAGCTGGCCCAGTGTTGCACAAGTTTGTGTTCTTGTTGGTGACACTGCATCTCCTCAGACCTCGGTCACATTACAGTACAGTAGTTATGGGTTAGCCACAACTTCTGGGACATAGGGGTGTAACCTGACCCCTCCCATCTTGTAGCAACTGTTATCATGTCTCTACCCTTCTCGATTTGGTTATTGGCCCCTCACATTATCTAGTCTACATTTGTGATGTTTGTGAGGAATCATTGGGTCTGTTTTTAGTGAATGTGATTTCCTGTATTATCCTTATTATTGAATTATTTCCGTCAGCTTCGTACTGAAAGGTGGATTTAACTTCACATCAGTGTCTGTGCCGACATCACAAACATTTACTTTAATATGGTAGTTAAAGCCTAAAGGGCTCCGGCTATCTGTTTGACTGTTTATCCTCAAGCTAATCATCATAATATTCATATTGGTACGTCATGCTGGTACTGACACTGCTAGAGAAACATTTATGAACGCCCTGGGTTTAGTATTGTTTGATTCTTAAGCGATGTTGAATATAGCCGTTGTAAATGCCCTTAAATAAGTAAACTATAAGTTGACTCTTTGTCATTGGAAATGACTTGCAGTAGGTCTTATCATAAATTACAAAGATCGTAGTTGCAGGCAACATACAGCTGAGGCCAGCACACATTTTAACATGCATAGATGTATCTGGTTTACTGTTTTGGTGCTCCTGCCATTTAAAAAAAGAAAAACAAATGAATACAAGGAAGCTATAATCTCACTCAGGATTTTATTTTTACAAGAAAGAAAAACTTGATGTATGATGAGATGGTTGGTTTGTTCTTAACTTGATTGATGAAATGTATATAAACCAAAAATCGCAAACCCTTGTTATACGTTCTCTCATATGAGTGTTTTCTGTTCCATCGCTACAGGAGAACAGCTGCAGACAGGCGGAGACAGTTTGGATGATGGTGCACCTATGGAGGACGGGGACATCAGCCCACCACCTCAAGGACGACGCAACCGCAGGGAAGCCTGTACCTGCCCCTTCTGCAAGGATGGAGAGGGACGGTATGTCACTGAACTACTAGTGCCATCCAATACAACAGCCCTGCTGTGAAGTCTACTCCTATGGTTTTTACCCTCTGTAAGTAAAATAATCAGTAACCCTCTATTTCTGCTTCATGCTGTTTTTGCATCAAACAGGGACCCGACTAAAAAGAAGCAGCACATTTGTCACATCTCTGGCTGTGGGAAGGTCTACGGCAAGACGTCCCACCTGAGGGCCCACTTGCGTTGGCACACAGGAGAACGACCCTTCGTCTGCAGCTGGTCCTTTTGTGGCAAACGATTTACCCGTTCAGATGAGCTCCAGCGCCATAAGAGGACGCACACAGGTGAGGATTTTGTTTGTTTGGCATTATGAGGACATTAAATCTCACACGACTGCAAAACCCAAAGACATGCTTCTATGATGTAGAAAAGGTAAAGCATAGAGTATGTGGAAACGTAAACATATGTTTTTCTTGGCAACATAGTTTTCCAGAAAATCCAATTTTTTGCCAAAGGATTTAATAATTTATCAACAGAAACTTAATAGGCAATTTGGTATCCGTCTTGATAGTCGATTAAATTTTTAGGTTAAATATTTGATGCTTTTTGTTTTGTCTTCAAACATATTAGAGTAAATATCTTTGGATGTCGGTTCAGGGCTTCATTAAATTGATATTTTCTGACATTTTATGGGCCAAATGATTAATCGAGGTAATAATCTGCATATTAATTCATAATAAAAAGTATTTTCTGCTTTAGGATTACTTATCCAATTGAATCTTGCATATGATCTCTAATTTCCCCCCCGAAATATAAAAAAATGTCTTCGACAGTGCATTAAACCTTCATACATTTCATACATACATTTATTTTTTCCTCCTTTTCAGGTGAAAAAAGGTTTGTCTGCCCCGAGTGTCCTAAACGCTTCATGCGCAGCGATCACCTCTCCAAGCACATCAAAACCCACATGAACAAGAAAGCAGTCGCCACCAGCAGCACCGCCGTCTCAGCCGACGCTGCAGAAACAAAAGTCGGCACAGGAGCGGTGTCGGCCGGCGACCAGCACACCATCGTCACCATGGAAACCTTATCTGCAGAGAGCATAGCTCGGTTAGCCAACAGCGGGATCAACATGATGCAAGTGGACCTTCACCATATTAACGGTAACAGCTACTAAGGACGGTGGAGGAGCGGGGAGACGGCCTTTGGTGGATGTTGCTTTAGGACATGTGGGGTTAAAAAGGGCCGACACAGAACCTCTCACGGGCTTCAGACAGGAGAGACGCTCGCAGGTGCAACGCAACGGACACTATTGAATCTTGTATTTAGATATATCTGTGGTATAGAAGGGTCAGAGTTTGAGGAGAATGTTTGGACTAGGGACATCATGAGTTCCCCTGAGTTTAAATGGCACTACCCCAACATCTGTCCCACACAAAGACTCACTCTTACCCGATGGTGGGATTGCAATAACACACCCACAGACCGGCACCCTTGATGCTGAATTAGTAGCTAATAATAACATCCCGACTGCAAGCGTCTTTAGTAAAGAGATGACGATACTAAGTCAGACTCTCACCCTGGTTTCCGAGGCCGTTCGCTCCTCGTCCCTCTTCTCCTCGGGTATCTCCGGCCCCCCTAGACCGGGCTGCTGTATCAGCCTGGCCCCTCAGGCTAACTGACCTATAATGCTAAACATCCCCCCTAAAATTGTAAGTATAACAATCTTGTGCCGAAAATATTTTGTATTGTTTCTCACATTTCTATTTTAATAATCCCAGCATCATAGGAATAATCTGAGAAGTGTTTTAGGGTGAACCGTTGAGAGGACGGCCGGAGTACTAAAGGTCCCGACCGGGTCACAGCCAGACGCACTAATCCGTGCGAGGACGTAGGTGTGCCAGGGCACTGACATCCTGAGAAGAACTCTTTAACCTCTGCAGTAGGTACACACACACTCAAGCCATCATGCTTTGATACGTTTATCATAGCGAAACATTTTGATTTTTTTATGTATATATATATATTTTTGGTAAAGGCTACAGAAATTCTTAGCTTAGGCAGGATCATCTTACATGATTGCCTTTCAGTTGTATGAACCTCATGCACAATCAATCTTAATCTTATGTTATTACTTTTATATATATATATATATATATATGTAGATTAAATGTTTAAATTTAAGAGCCTTTCTGTCATAGAATAATGTATTCTATACAGTCCAGATCTTCCCAGTACCTTTTTGTTTTTGCTCCCGTGGTATACTCGTCTTTGCCTTGCAGTTACGTCAGTTTTCTTTTGGTGGAAAACTTTTTTTTGTTTCTTCTTCTAGTTTAAATCGGGTCAGAAGTATTTTTGTAATGTCCAGACTGCATAAATATGCAAGCTCAAAACCAAAGGTTCATACTCATTTTATAAGCAAAACTAGTACGTCTGTCTTTGGTCCATGAACTTCCTATTCATTTTTACTCGTGTATTGCATACGTTAAAGTTCTAACTGGAAAAGATCCGGCTTGAGGCAAGCACCGGACACGCATCCCTTTGTTGTCCAAATAAATAAGTTGCAAAATGTGTTGGTCAATATTTCTTTCCTGAAAGATGCTTCTCACACTGTTGAAATGGTTGATGTTTATTTGACAAAGATAATTGTAACGTATGTTTAAAAGCTCTCCCTTGAAACTCTATAGACTAAGTTCATCAGACAAGTGCTCTTACTTTTTTTTCTTTGAAGGGATTTTATATTGTGTGTCTATACAACTACTGCAAATGCCAACAGCTGGATTAAAATTCTGAATATACTTGTCTCTTCTTTGCAAACTTGTCTCAATCTCACAAACGGATGATTAAAAAATATATACGTTCATGTAAAATCACAGGTTGTGGATGTTTTATTAGGATTAAAACAACTTAAAAGAGAAACTATTTGAACAATTGCTGCACCTCGTTAACATCACATCTCTACATTGTTGTCCTCGTATTTCAGTTTGTTACGGAGGCTGTAAGGAGACAAATAAAGACATTGCAGATGTTTTGTTAGTTCCAACACTTACGTTCACTCATACAGGAGGACTTGCAGCACACGAGATCACCAGTTTATCGAGTTAAATCAATGTAGTTGTTCACCTGCTGAGGTAGGAGTGGACGTCAGAGAAGCCGTGGTACTGAGCGAGAGGGAACAGGATGCCGGTTGGGCAGCGGCCGTCACGCAGTCGGCAGAAGCTGCAGTTGCAAATACCGCGACAGGGAGGACACCTCCACTCCTGAGGAGATAACCAAAAGGTTAAACACCAAAAGGACTTGAATCAGAGAAAGACCAAATTAAAAGTACACAGGCAAAAGAGTTTTAAAAAAAAAACTACATTGAGTACTATATTAATCCCAGGGATTAATGAAGTACTTCTGATGAATATACAGAGTTGTGAGCTATAAGATCCAACCTTCATGTCAAAGTGAAAGTGTACTGCTGACTTGGACTTGATTTTAACTGATCAATCAAGGAACTGATGGCAGACATTTTTAAACTCTCCTCTTAAATCTCTCTCCCCATGCAAGCCTGAACACGTAACGACCGTAAGTACTGAAACAATGTCCGCAACATTAATATTTGAGCATGTACACAGGTGTAGAGCGTGTGCTGGTGCGTCAGCAGTCTGACCGGATCAAGCAGCGCCTTCTTGACGTCCTCTCCGTATCTGTTCCTCAAACACGGTCCACAGAACTGACCCTGGATCCCGCGACAGTCCTCACTGCGGCAGCACGTCTTGGTGTCAACCGTTTTCTGACGGCACTGATGACATGTGGAGCCCTGAAAATAGAAAAAACAAACCCCAACATTAGATGTTGCACAGGTACACTATCATTTTATGACATTTCATATTCTGCTATACAGAGGTTGAGCACAATCTAGTCGCCTCAGTAATGGAGAGATTGCCACCTGGTATTGACCCGACAGCTTCATCAGTTCTTCAACATACATCAGCACTCACTGTGAATCTGTTGTAGACTTTTTCCGTCATGTTGTCTGCAACCAGCTGAATCTCGTCCTCCGTGATGTCCTCCACAGGACGGATACAGTGAGGTTTGCACTGCTTGGGCCGCGGGGCGCCACGGCGCTGTGGGGATCTGCGCACCTGGAGCACAAAGACGACGGATCCCAGTGAGCTTACAGTTTTACACAGAAATGGACAAGATACAGATTAGGTTAGCTGAACACAGACCTACACAAGGACGAACTCATGGTCACCTCTAACCAATATACAGCACATATAAGAAGCACAAAACGGATGAGAAAACACACTGATAAGACTACAAAGAGACGGTTTTCACTGTCATCATTCATCCCGCATGGTGAATACTGTTCCTCAGGGACAACACACAACAGCCAGATAGTAGTTTCACACAAACCCACAATCCTACTGCATGTTATACAAAAAATGCTTTTCTCAGCATTTTAAACTGGTCTTTAATAAATGACAGCTGACCTCCAGCAGCTCCTCCAGGCTGAGCTCCAGGTCTTCCTCCTTAGGGGCTGAGGGATCGTCGCTTCCCCCCATTGAGCGGGTTCGTCTGCGAGACGCCCGCTCTGGGTTCTTCCTGGACTCTCCTCCGGCTGCACCAGAGCGCGGTGGACGCTGCAGGCGATGTTGGATAAAAATCACCTCAGTACATTAGCCTGATTAGAAATACTATTAGTCAGAGCTCAACTGAATATAGACAAGAGGATGGCGGATGTGTTTGATTGTGATACGTTCTTAGACCTGTTACACAATATGGTGGGGATCTACATTTCTGTCCACCATCCCCCATATTAAACAACAACTCTAACAACTCAGTAGTGTGTGAGAGACTTTCATCGTTTTCAACTCACACAACTTCGGTCTTTTGTCTTCCGTTTGCCTGCTTGTTTTTTCAGAATCCCTGCACCTCCTGGCATGTTCTGCAGGTCTGCCATTAGCTGAGCCAACTGTTGAACAGGGAGGATGAAAAAGGATTAGCGACATGGCAGATGACAAGCCTCTCTAGTCAGTCTAGCAGGGCACATTTTTAAGCATTTGAAACTTATGAGTATTTTAGCGTTACACTAATATCTCAATGTCAAATGTACTTTTTTCATTTTGTCAAGTCAAATCTTAAGTCATGTCTCCTGCGCCAACACCCCTGATTATGAAATGCAATTGTCTACTATAAACGAAAAAAGGAGTATAAATAGAATAGATCTGTAATATTATTAATAATAGCTCTCTCGAATATAAAAGTCTGTGTGAACTTTAATTTGTGTTGGGTACACTGTGGTTTGGGACCCACAGCTTTAAATACATTGTTACATCAGCCTGTCAGTTTGCAAATAGTACAATACTGCATTATGGTTCTGTGGTTCAATGTTACCATCGCTTTGTTGGCCTTGATGTTCTGCTCTCTCTTGGCCAGGAAAGGAGCAGACACATCTTCTGCTGAATCAGATCCACACTCTTTGATAGGAGAGGGCCGAGCCACTGCTGTCTCCTCATCTTCAAATTGAACACGTCTCTTCTTCTTTGCCTGACTGGTCTTTCCTGTCCACTTCACCACCCTCTTTTTTATCCTCTTTTCCTCCTCCTCTTCATCAGTGGACTGCTGGGTAGAGGGAGTGGAGCGGAGAGCCACCCTCAGGCTGAAGGTTTTGGCACCAGAGGATGGTTTAGACGTTACTTTCTGCTCCCTGGCAGAGAAGTCAGGCTGAGCTTCATCTTCATCTTCTGAATTTGAATTCTGATTAACACAAGAAGGGGATTTATCATTTGGCAAGTTTTTTTGTCAAAACGTCTTCGTTATAGCAGAATATAAAAAGCACAAGTAAGCTGCATTTAGTTAAGTATGACAAATCCGCACAGGGCAATATTCCTGATTTGACAGTATTGTATCATAAAACAACCAAACCGAGTGCGTATCCAGATGTAGGTTTATGTTTATTTTTCCAACCCGATGCTGGATCTGGCAATACACAGGCCTTAATTTAAACCAAACTACTCACTTTATCGCAGTGGTCGCTGATCTCACTGTCAGAAAAGCCCAAAAATGTTCGCTCATTTTCAGAGTCCTCCACAAAGACGTCGGCTAACGTTAGCTTTTTTGAGATGGCGTCCATTCCTAAAACCCCTGGCTGAAGAGAGATACAACAACAAGCGTAGTTTAAAAATATTTAAAATGTGTGGTACGTATTTAACTTGGTTATTAAGTGATGTTACGTTATTTGACTATTGTATTGTTGATGACAGGGACCAACTAGCTTCTGACGTTTAGCTAGGTCCGCCCGCGCGGAGGTAACGTTACCTGTTCAATTAATCTGATTGAAAATCGATGTACCTGTTTTGTAGTTCAGGGCAGCACGAATGCACAGAACAAGCCCCGAATCTTGTTGTATATAAACTCCGCCCTCACGGGGTTAACTGGGTACCAAAACATGCAGCTTTTCAAGACCCAAAAATGGTTAGCGGTTACTTCTAAAATGAGCCTAATGTTAGCTTTAACGTTTAGTTCTGGGTGTTTACCATGTTCATCAGCATGTTAGCATGGCGCCCTCCCACCACAGACATGCTCAGACGCGTTTGAGGCAAATAGACCCAGGAAGCACTGTTTTATTATCCAAAATTATTATTTGCATGGTTAAAACAAACTTAACACAATCAGTAACAACAAGTAGTGGTACAAGGCATACTAACAAAACATTATAAACTTAGCTGTCAGAAAGAGGAACCTGCATGTTGACTGCTTTACGAAATCTAGCCTACACTTAATTAATGTTCCTTGGAAATAATTAGTAATTTGGGAAGTTAATGCAGGATTTATGTTTTCCGAGATGGCTGACAGAGGAAAAGGCAGCATTTTTGTGCATTTACAGCAGTGCTCTTAAACATTGCGCCTGTAGTGGAAAATCTAGTTCCTACATATTTTTCCTACACATTGATTCTCAGGGGTATCCAACCTGCAATGTACGTGAACCAAAGTACTGTACATAAAAAAGATTGACCTGACCACAATTTTGACAATCATTAGGCCCCGAGCACCGACAACGTCGGGCCGTGAGGTCCCTATTGAAACTGTAGGAATTATTATTGTTATTAGGGCCCGAGCACCGACAACGTTTGACCTAGATGTATGAAATTTGGTAGGCACATGAAGACTTTTTAAAAAAGTATCTTGGGACCATGCTCTAAAATTAACGGGAAGTCGGCCATTTAGATTTTTGTGTGAATTTTCCCATGATTTCTAGTCGCTATACTATATACGAACTCCTCCTAGGGACTTTGTCAGATCCACTTCAAATTTGGTCAGTACAATCGAAAGACCTTTGCAATTAAAAGTTACTCAAAGCTTTACGTTTAATGGAATGGCGTAGCCGTGGCGGCCATTGTGTGATTTGCTATTATACAACAAGCTGATGTAACTCCACTGGACTTGCTCAAATCTGTCCCAAACTTGCCATACTTGATAACAGTCATGGTCTGAGGATGTCTACAAGCCAATTTTCACTCAAACTCATAGCGCCACCTACTGGCAACAGGAAGACAGCGTTTTGTGTCAAACGGAATCCGATTTACATGATATTTACATGATGTGGTCTATACTTGATGTAGAGCAACATAATGCATGTTTGAGCGTGTTCTCCAGCGCCACATAGTGGATACAGGAACTGGTGGAATATTTGCACTACATACTGTCCAGCGTCACAGTTCACGCATTAAAAATAGGTCTAACTTGTGGGCATGCTGTCCGATGATCGCAGATATGTATGGCTGCATCTGCCGGCGTCCAGTACCCCCGAGACGCAGGAAGGTGCGAGGGCCCGTACATCGCTGCTTGCAGCTTTAATTTAGATTGTTTTTGTATCTCAGAATCAGTCTTGTATTCCCACAGCCTATTGTAGCCTATATATTGTAGCAGGTGTGTGGTCGTGGGAGTGATGCTGGGAAACTCCTCTTACATTCCCAGGACTGATAAATACTCCCTCCCTTCTTGGGTCCTGGCTCAGAGTTACGATGATCTTGCGACAGTGGTGGTTGATTTGGGCTCTGGGTGAGTGCAATTGCTCTAAATATATTGCATGTGTCTGTGTTTTCTATGTGAATTTCCAATGTGCCTGCTGTACCTCACCTCCTAACTTAGGTAAAGTTAGAAAGATATTGACAGATTCGTAGTAGGTATTTTCCGCATTGCACTTTGTAGACGGTCCCTGCGGACTCGTCTCGCAGCCGGCCGCTCATTGAGACCAATGCAGATTGTCCAGCTCGGAGGAGTCCGTAAGACGGCCCGTTTTAATTCAATTAAGGTTGTAGCTTGTTGTCTACCTCACTACGGTTACAGGGAGGTGTCGTTTGTATTTTAGCAACGTTTCGTTAACGATTTATTGAACCGGGAAGTCCGAATCTGTCAACATCTTTCTAACTTTACCTAACCTAAATACTAACCCCAGCATTAAAATAAGCATATACAAAATCCTATTATGTCATGGAAATTTTGAATTTGAAGAAATTCATCTTTTTAGTAACTGTTTTTGACACAGTGCCAACCCTCTGCTATACAATCTTTCTGCCAGCATGCATCTTTATATGCGTCTCCGACCAGTCAAATCCTCACAAGAGACGGTGTGCATTCCGAGTGACTCCTCGGAACAACCGATACACAACCGCTGGCAATGTGAGTGGGTCGGTGCAGCTATGTGAGAACACCCAATGCTGCGTGGGCTATTACCGGATCATTGATGACCGGCCAGAGGTTGACGTTCTCGGTAAGAAACCATGGCAAAACGCAAGATATCTGGACCAGTACCTCTGGACTAGTCTGGATTATGTTCTGTAGGCTACTATTATAAGAGTCGTGCACAATTTTGCTCTCAAATGATTTAAAAACGAATCAACTTTAAGCCTCAAACCTAAACGATATCATGAAACCTCTGACTGATGTTGGCTAGTTATTTGCTGTAATGTAAATTAGGCTGCAGGCTTAGTTTGGTTCTCGTGTATTTTTAATTGTCTATTTTGTTTCTGATTTTTCTGTTGCAGCTTGTGATATTGCTGAAAAATCTTGCCCAGATGCAACCTGTAACGCACGAACACGTTTTGACGGTCGCCTCCTTGTGTGTGTGTGCAACACAGACTTTTGCAATAGCAACATCACGTGGAACCCAGAGTTCAAAGAGCCTCAACCCACCTACTCTTATTTTGTAGGTATGACCACGATAAGATTACTAACTAATCGTTGAATATCACTTGCAACCAACATAGTGAAAACATAATATCCTGACATTATGACAGAGTGAGGAATTGTTTTATTTTTATTACAGAACATGTTATAATTGATTCAAAAGACATCTCTTTATTTTTACATCCCTCCACCTCCACTCACACCTGCGCCACCATAAACCACCCTCTACTATATGTAGGTATATTTGTCTCTTTATTACGCAAACAAAAACAAATGTGCGAAAGTGGGTCTTCATGTCAACACTGCAGCCCTCCATGTCGTTCTTTAAAAAAAGAGACTCCACGACACTAACAACATGAAAGTGAAGTGCTGCTACATTTAAAATAATTTTGACAAAACAGAGCAATATAATGTCAATTTACCTCCATGTCGCTCATCACATCCCGTCATTGTTTACAGTGGAAGCAGATGCCAAGTCGAACCCAACCAATAGAAACTCCTGGCTCATTCAGCAGCGCATGCCCCGCCCACTACATCCATCATTTTTTGAGAGCAAAGCTTTATGTTTTGCAGCCAAATATTCTCGTTTCATAATCAAAACTAACAAATAATTTATTCTCAGTTTATATATTTACACTTACAAACTTGATTTTTGGTTGCAATGCGAGAAATTTGCTCTCAAAACATTTTTTTTGTTTGCGTAATAAAGACACAAATATACCTTCATACTACTACCCTTTCATTTGAAATTTGACACTTTTTTCATAATGCTATATTCATATAATGAAACATGTAAAGTAACAAATACAATTGATTGACTCAAAAGGGGTGTTATCATTGTTCACAGATAACGTTAACAATTTTCTCCTACATGTTTCTTTTTAGATGACATTATGAAAGCTGCGGCAATAACTGTGACATTGCTCGTCCTGTGCTTCCTGCTGATCATTGCAGCCAAATGGAGATGCCTATTTCAAAAGAAAAGTAAGATCCTTTTTGGTTTCAACATCAAGATAGAAATGCAAAAAATATGTTCTTTCTAATAATGTGTTGATTTGACTTCACAGTGGCAGAAAGTGGGAGTTAAACTAGACAAACTAGTAACACGAATGCCTTTACAATTAATTATCTGTTGATATTTGCTGGTGTTGTCTAAGTGCACACACACAAGGAGGAGTTTATTGTCTTGATCCCTCAGATTTAGATGAACTTAATTTAAAAACGCACACACATTACTGCTCGTTATGGGGAAATGGTGTTTACAGCTCCCGAATTAACCCTTTCTATGGCTTAGAATTTTGCATAAAGGTAAAAAGGTGTTGTTTCTGTGTCAAGTAGCCTCTCTGCGTTTCAGAGGATTAGAGAAAAAATGTCAGCTATGTTTCCACATTTTCTAAACTCTGATTCAGTTCTCACGATTCTTTGTTCGACCTTGTAACTGTTTCATTCTCTCTGCTAGTCTGACCTTGGTGTTTATCTCTGCTATAACACTCCCTTTTACCCCTGTCCTTTGTTTGTTACTGTTCAAACAGACATGTGGCTCTTCAGTCGGGCTAGTGTAAAATGAATAGTGACTTTATTGTCAGATTACCGTCAATGAGTGTGTGTTAATTACAAGACCTGTCAACTTTCATTATTTTAGAGGTTAATCCACCCTCCCATGATGATTACGGTGTCTCACGACTGTGTTCCTGCCAAACAACTAAAACCTCTGAGATTGACATTGCTGACATTGAACGACAGCAGGTAAGTAGCTATCACATGGACTTATACTATATGGTCAGCAGTGTTAAAAATCATCCAGTTAGGTGTTATATCCTATCATGTCCAGTTGATTTACCTGTCTGTTCTTACCTTTTCAGATTGTAGGCCATGGGTATTTTGCAACTGTTTGGAAGGGGAAATACAAGGGATCCATTGTGGCAGTGAAGGTTTTCAATGATGGCTGGAAACACACATTTACTGCAGAGAAGGAGGTCTATGAGCTACCACTAATGAATCATGCTGGGATTGTCCACTTCCTTGGCTCTGGGAGTAAACCAGGTGGAGGCGGAGGGCTCATTGTCCTGCAATTTGCTGAATGTGTGAGTGGCAACCAGTCATTTGAATTTCGAAATGAATTGTGCATTTCTACATTTTCTCAGAGATCAAAAGTTATTTGAGGAAAAGGGACAAGTAACAGAAGAAAGAATCAGGGCCAGGAAGCAAAGAAAGGCATTAGGACATAACTCTTATAAGCAACTATATTATGAAAATGGAACCACTACTGATTCCTTAAAATGGCTATAGTCAACATTTTTATAATAACAATGAAATGATAATGTGAAGACAATGTGAAACTGGTCAGTGGTATTGATGCACCTTCAGAGACTTATCACCTGAATCTGCAGCTCCCCTCAGTTGGCAGATATTTTCAGTGAAAAAGCTCAAAGAAACCCACTGTACACTATCCGCTCTTCATCAAACAGCAGACAGACACAGTTAGTGACTAGCTGGTGAAAATAGTGGAGCATTGAGTTTTCCCTCAGGAGTCGGTAGAGTCCAAAGATATTTAAAAGAGAGTGAATATTGGACTTACATTCATCCAGTGGACACAAACACAGCGCCAAATGAATAATACAGTTGCTTAAGTTTGTCATATTAACATAAAAGTTGAGATGAGGTGGATACACGATCACACATATGTCTTTATTTTATACAAGCCGATGTATAAAATGTTCACATTCTTTGACATAAATTGCTGGTGTCCCTTTTGATTTCAGGGTACTCTCCACTCCTATCTGTGTAAACACACGACCAACTGGATGTTGACACTGAAGTTGTGCCAGTCTTTATCGCAGGGACTCTCCTATCTGCACTCTGACCTTCACGAACATGGTATTGTTCTGTGTATTTCTGTGAACAAATGTGTGTGTTTGTGTGAGCGTGTGTGCAGTGCATGTTGTAGTCTACCAATGTAGAAAGCATTTCTGTTTGTGCACATGTAAGCTAAAATATCAAACTTGATTAATAGTTGTTGTTGTTATCTAACAAAATTGAAATGCTTTTGGAGAAGTACTTTTCAGGTGATTTTTTTAAATTTAAAAACAAACAAACGTAGGGCTGCATACAAACAGCCCACATATCACAGGGATCCATAATTATACACATAAAGCAGGCGTCACAGTTAAACAGGTTTAATGAATGAAGTGTGAGTTTTTCTTGATCTTTAAAGTCCACTGCAGTTAAATATCCAAACAAATAAGAATCTTATTTTTGTTGCAGATGTGCATAAACCTTCCGTGGCCCACGGAGATTTCAGCAGCTCCAATGTGCTTGTGAGAGCAGATGGTACCTGTGTCCTGTGTGATTTTGGATGCTCAACCATCCTGCGTTCTTGTTCTGGACATCGCAGCTGGAGAAGCCACACAACAAACATGGAGGTGAGCCTTAGGCGGAACCACAATTTATTATTCTTAATTCACAGTACAATGAAATCATAAAAAAGTGAGTTGGTTATCTTGGTGGTCTCCAAGAAATAAAATGAAAACAAGCAGAGGGATGACATTTAACACATAGAAATAAACAATTCACATTACCATCCATCTGCAGGGTCATTCGTGGTTGGGCACACTGCGCTACATGCCCCCTGAGATCCTGGAAGGCTCTGTAAACCTAAGCAGCAGCAGGTGTCTCATGCAGGGGGACATCTATGCTCTGGGACTGCTGCTGTGGGAGATCTTGATGCGCTGCTCTGATTTATTTGAAGGTAAACTTCCTTGATCAGATAATCATGAAAATCTATCAGTATTTGAGATGGGAGTCCAAACATCTCCACCCTTTAAATTGTACTCATTGTACTTTTGAAAGAGAGATATTTAATGAGAATCATTTTTCAGCTGAAGAATGCCACACATCACAATGATTAATCAAAACTAGTAAACGTTGCATCAATCAATATTGTCAGAGTGTCACAATTTTTGCTTTTCCTTCCCTTTGAGGTTGATCTTTGTAATCAACTTTATCTCTGTGCTCTGCTTGGATACACTTCACCTATACAGTATCTTGTGGTACTATATGGATGTTCAAATTCATGCAAATGTCTCCATCTGCAGGCGGTGTTGCTCCGCAGCATCTGTTGCCTTATGAATCTGAGCTGGGAGCCCATGCAACGCGAGACAGCCTCATCCAGTACGTGTGTCACTTGGAAGAGAGACCCTCCATACCTAAACACTGGGAACTGCTACCACAGGTATTCTTACACAGGTGCTTCTGACATGAACCTAGTTTTTTTTTCATTGGTTAGGTAGCAATGAAGATAAACGTACTGGATAGCGCATGAAAATGTTCATGATATTGAATTAAGTTTGTCAATGTATTGACTCATTTGTCACATCTCAACTTTCAGGGATCTGTGCTGCAGGAGCTCCTGACAGATTGTTGGGACTGTGATGCCGATGCTCGACTGACTGCTCAGTGTGTTGTGAACAGATTAGGCTCTCTTCAGTCTTGTTACTCTTCATGACTTTTCTTTTTCCTTTTTTTGAAGGTTGACTTGTAATGTACATATCAAGCATTTGCACTGTTCTCTTTGTGTCATCACTGTGTAGCTTTTCAGTATATTTTCATCAATTTTAATGTAGCCCCTTATTAAAGAATGCATATTCTTGACTCGGATATGTTCCCATTACTCTTTCTTTCTATTAGATCCTTACAGATATAGGCATGTCCATAATGGCATATTGGGAATTGTTGTTTTTTGAAAAAAGGACAAAAAAGGAATGTTATTCCTGTACTCTCAGCAATAGGTTAGTTAGTTAGCCTAATGTTATGTAACTATGATACATGATTATGGTTTTGTATTTAGATGATAGTTATTAAAAAGATAAAGATACGTATGACTACTAGTTATACTTAAAGTAATAGGCCTTTTTCACAGCAGACTTTTTGACTTGTCATAGCAGGAAAATCACAGGTGGCGCTAATACTGTAAATGATTGCTCTGTTACATTCAAGTACACCAGTTAGTAGGCCTTTTTTTTTTTTTTTTTACTGAAAACGTTTTATGACATGCCAAAGTACAATACAATGAATGATGGCTGAATTCCTTTTAGCTGCCTTGATTTCCTGGTATTGTCCATGCTGCCTCACTGTCACACTGTCATGGGGTACTTGAATTGAACAGAACCATTGGTGTTATTGGAAACACTTGTGCTTTTCCTATATTGAAGTCAAATGATCTGCTGTGAAAAAGGCCTTTACCTCAAACTCTGAAGCTTACATATCTAAATCGAACATAGCCGTCATTATTGTTATTAAGTGACATGTCAAAATATCTGCTGTCAAAGGTTTGTTGGTAGGCACATTGATACCTTTGGTTATGCAGGTGAGCCACAGGGAGAGCTATATTTACCAATATCTTTGATTTTTTTTAAAATCATATTTGTTAAAATTACACTTATTATAGCTAGAAAGCCATATGTTGTATGTAGCTGTTTACATAACTGTTGATCCATGACGTCATTGATTTATTTGTCGTTTCAAGTGTGTGCGCGTGTGTGTGCGTGTCATGGCCAAACCCCACTTGGCTCCTCCCTTTTAAATATATCATTCCCAATGGGAGGACACCATAATCATGTATCTTTTGTCCCACAGAAACACGTCGATCAACTTTTTCAGAGCTTGCTGGACTTTTGCCATGACGTAAATAACGTGCGTAGCCTTAAACAACGGGCGTGGCTTTCTGATGCATTTGTATTGCTGCGTCCGTGCAGCTCAATGCGGAAGACTGACAGGGAGCACGTCATTCCTGATGAACTGAGAAAGCAATCCTGAAGAAAGTTTCCAAGGTAAACCTATGACATTGACAGTTTTGATTATAAATAGCGTGTACAAAACAAAACAACCAGAAACTACAGCAATCCGATCATTTCGAGCTTTGTGATTTCTAGAGTTAAATGAAGAAAGTCTAACGTTGTCGAGGCATTAGACGACACACTGGCTGTATTGTGATCGGTGCATAATGTGTCTGAAAATATGTGCATAATGTGTGCACGGGTATAGTTTGTTGCTCAAGTATTTTGTTTGTCGTTGTAATAAAGTTTTAAAACAAACCTCGGCTCCCATGATGGTAACGTTCATTCCGTCACTGTTGTATTGACTCAATTGTTTTTAAGCGTACCATTTACAGAGAATCTAAAACGCATGGCGCAATAGAAAAGTTGAAATAGTTAGCCTGTCAATTCATCAGCTGATTTAGATCATATTATTTATGTTCATATGGGGTTTTGAACTCTTTGGTAGACTAAACAAGCAATTCGAGGGTTTCATCTTGGCTATTGATACTGTAAGATAAAGTACAGAATATCTACAGCCATGTTGACGAAAGGTATTGGAAACTCTTGAAAACTGATTTTAATATTTCGAGTTACTTATGAACATTTTTATACAGCATGGATAGCAGATCTGACAACCAGGTGTGGTGACAGATACAAAGTATATCATCTCGGATCAGAAACTACATTGTCATGTAAAGCATGTGTGGTGACTTGTTTGATTTGGATTGAATCAACACCCACATAAATTATATAATAAGACACTGTGTAGTTAAACTTGTAATAATAGTTGCTTTTTGCTTGTAATGTAATTTTACTGAATCAAATATTAATTGCATTTACTTTCCCACTGTTTCCTCAGGAGTTCGATTGAGACCTGAAGTGTTTGACTTGTCAGGTCAAAAATCATAACCATGTGGCCAAATCAAGGTGGGATATCATATTATACATAACCAGCATATCATTATTTTTTTAGGCCTGGTGATATAGGTGCTCTGAAAAATAATGTGTGTATGCATGTTTTTATCTATATTAGGTCCTCCCCCTCCAGTGGGCCCACCAAACCCTGCCTACCCTCCTGGCTACAACCCTGCATATCATGTTGCACCTACATCGGGACTCTTCCCCCAACCATCACATCCTGGGCAATTCCCAGCTGGGCAATACCCAGCTGGGCAATATCCAGCTGGGCAATATCCAGCTGGGCAATACCCAGGGGGCATGAACCCAACCATGGGGCCACATGTACCTCCAGGGGCCATGCCTTATGGAGCTCCAGGTGGATATCCACTAGTCCCTCCTGCAGGTACTCACCCAGGTCCATACCCGCACTCTCCAAAAGGGTGTCACCAAAAAGGCCATAAAGGCCACAAGGATCATAAAGATCACAAAGATCACAAAGGTCACCACAAAGATCATCATCATGGAGGGTTAAATCCCATGGCTGGAGCATTTGCTGGAGGATTGCCTGGAATGGGAATGGGGTTGGATGGACATAAAGCCCACAAAAAGATGAAAAAGGGGAAGAAGATGAAGAAGGCGAAGGGGCACAAACATGGCAAGGTGAGATGTCTACAGATATGCCACATTGTTTTAAATGGCTCTCCCTGTAGGTGAAGTATTTATGCCAATACTCGATAACAATATGAAACTTTAACCTGCCTAAGTCCCTCAGCCCCAGGCCTCCAACTTCATGTCAATCAGTGTTGCAAACACCAGAACAAAAGAAATGCTCTCATGTCTCAGGTGCAAAGTGCAGTACAGCTGCAGATACATGGTTTAGGTTGTACTTGAAGAGTAATATAGATATATTATCATTAGGTTGCTATGGCACATCAAAACAAACAGTTACTAGATTGTATTATGAAACATTTTGCTGACTTGTATGAGAACAGACAAAACACTCAATTATAATAATGGAAAGTAAAGCTATATGTTCTTTACAACATTTGTGGTAAATATTGCTGCAACTACGGATTAATTGTACTGTTGATTAATCGTCGGGATAGTTGTTAAATAATAAATGAATTGCTTAGTTTGTAAAATGCCCATCACCGCTGCCAAGGGTGACATCTTCAAAATGCTTTTTAAACAATTGCTGTTTGTGTTTTAAACTATATTAAAATATGAATGTGTATAGTATATAATTTTTCTCTTTTTCTTCACAGTCCTCCAGCAGCAGTAGCAGCAGCAGCAGCAGCAGCAGTAGTGACTAAGACTGAGGACACCAGGCTTTTTCAGAAGTGTCACATTACAAAAGTGCAACCTTACTATTACAAATAAATACACTAAAGTCATACTTATCACTTTAAACAGGACATACTAATTGAAAATAAAATAAAGGTAGCTAAAAAGCTGTTATATCTCACAAGAAATGCATGCATACGCTGTTGCTGTAAACATTTTCACAGCATTTTGCTGTGTTTGCATTCCATCATGTCTCTAGTTTGTGGTGTTTTTGGGGAAATGGTCCACTACAAGTACATTGGTGTACAAATGTATTGAAATAATTTGAAGAGGGGCTAAATGATGAGAAAATCTAACATTGTGATTCAGTAAAAGAATATATGTATATTATGCTTTTTTCTCTTTTCTTAGGAAGTTTCACCTTGAGATGGAGATTGATACAGATATTAAGTGTCTATTTTATGCTAATTTGTGTTCACTGCTACACATGACTGCAGAATGCATTGTTCTGCATTGCTTTGTATCTGCATTAATTAATTTAAATCAAACTTGTTTAATAAATACATTTAAATTAAAAGACTGACACAATTTGTTGTTGCCAGGATGGTAAATATTTTAAGTTAAAAACTGAGTTGCAATACACTTTACGCCCACCAGTGTGCTTATTATTAGGTATCTTATTGAAGTTTGTAAATATGAACATATTAGAAACATTCGTAAAGCGTTCACCTGTTTGTTAATTAATTTTTGAATACATGAAAAACACGTGGGCCATCAGTTATTTTCAACAACAGAGCTCCCTGTTTAAACAAATGGAATAATGTGTATAATTTGCGCAAAAACTTATTTTTTGATGAAATTCTTTCATTCCGCTTTCATGTTGTTGCATAATGTCAAAAAAAAGTGTGCTACAATAACTTATTTATAGACGAGATTTTTGGGCATCTGTGGGTCATACCAAAACTCAGGATGGGGGTTTGGGTTGGGTGAAAGGCGAAAGTTCAGAGGTTATAGTTTTGTTGTCTTTGTGTAAAGGAGTGGAGCTCGATCTCACATCACTCTTCCCTCTTCCCCGAGTCCTTTCTAAACTCTCCCCCGGGTCTCTACCCTCCCGAACCTCTCCCCTTCTACCCTTACAACCCCAACCCTCCCCCCGGTCTCCTCCAGCACACTCATCAGGTAAGTTTTATTCTGATATTTGGTGTTTTTTAATATTAGTTGTTATGATGAGAAGTAGCGAAAAGAAATCGCGCCCAGCAGCTAGCGGCTTGTTGTCCAGCATGCTAACAGGCCGCACGATGATGAGCACGCAGTCTGTCTGTCCAGAAGCATTTGGCTAGCTTAGCTAGCTACGGAGAAGTTTGATCTTAATGTGGCTTTAATAACCTGCTGTCTGTTGTTTAGCGCCTGTACGTTATCAAACCAGGACACATCTACAGTGCTACATAGCTGTTGATATTTGGTCAGCTATTAATAACGTTGACTAATTATGCTAACTTGCTAGCTTAGCTAAGTAGCGCACGCATGCTCCATTCATTTTTCCAGCACGGTGAGAAACCAACATGCTAAAAGGCTAACAGACTTACAAAAAGCGTAAATAGTTCATGGACTTACTTTGAACTAACCAACACGCGCAAAGTAAGCCGTTAAATGTCCGCTTTTCATTCTGGACATATGTATGAATGTATTTTAGGAAATGTAGGTCCAGTAATGGGGGAGTAATAGTCGGTAATTGTGTTGATAAACTTGATTCATCGCAAATGAAGACATCGTTAGCATACGAGCAATGTGTTTTTCAGTTAGCATGGAGCTGGATTCAATGCTAATTTACTTGTTTGTAGTCGTATAACTTGGGTCGGAGCAGCACTCAGATGTTTGAAAATAAATGCACCAAACTAGCAGCGTGTAGTTGGCACAGTGAAAGTGAGTCCTGAGCTATTTCATACGATTCATTGTACTACGCATCAGTATTCATAAGTAACAACGTTAGCATGAGCTGTGACACAGATCTATCATATTCTCTTTGAATAGGTTCAGTAAGGAGACATTTGTCTAATGGAAAACCAGGTATAACCTCATATATATTTGCACATTTTTCGTTCAACATTACACATTTAGCTAAAGTATGTTACATGGTCTGGTGTGTTTTAGGTGCAGGTTTTAGTTCGACAAAATAAGGTAATTGCTAAACTGTGTAAACGGTTCCTTTATATACTTTATCTATGCTCACATTTAAATCTATGGCCATATAGTATAGTAATATCTATATGCAGTACGAATATGCAATTCTTAAGCATTAAGACATCTTAAGAGGTCAGATATTTGTGTATTGGCCAGTGAGTGCCAGAATGTAAATACTATGTAGTGTACTACTAACACACTGTGTGTGGGATTGTTTATTCTAACGAGAGATATTTACTCTTTACCTCTTTGGTGAACAGGCCACTTGTTATAGATTGAATTAGAGGCACACCACATGTCTTACTTTTGTTAACCCTAATCTGCATCCATGCCACGTGTTTTCTATCTTCTTTACTGTGTTGTAATTCAGTCCCATGAGGTCATCATCCTTGGTATATCATCTCTTGTCTGCTATGACCTTTTTTAGAGCCATCTCGGTGACCAAAGACCCCAGTTCTGCACGGACGACCAGGTTGCAGTTATGGACTCCGGTGTGATTGAAGGAGGGCTCAATGTCACCCTTACCATTAGGCTGCTCATGCATGGCAAGGTGAGGTCACCCATAAGCTGCACGTGTCAGCACTCTAAGAGTCTATGATGTCATATTCATGGAAATGAAGCTGCTCAGGGATGTATAAAAGGCAGGGACATTGATGTGTTGAGATGGACCTTGTTTTCGTCTTTGTCAATAAAAAATAGTTGGACTCACAATATGTTTGTCTTTTTTTGCTGTGAGCAGAGTTAAACTCATCACCCTCCCCTGCATGATCACAGAGCCCCTTTAAAGATCAAATGGTATTATTAACACCGGACACTTGGTTAAAATCTGCAACCAGGAGGCATGAGATTGCATTCGCCATTGTCACAAATCAATCTGGCTTTCACAGCAGCATAGCCACGCACTTGTTGCAGCTTTGAATCCCACCGTGGTCTGTTGTTGTGGTTTCAAATGCTTAGATGCCATGTGGCAAAAAGTGGCTGCTCAAAATCTGACTCTGAAACGTCATCTTATGCTGCGGACATATGTATGCATTGATGCATCCAAAACATTATCCTCTAAAAGCTCTGCTAGCTCGTAGCATCCAAAATAAGAGCCCCAGCACTAGCTAGGCGTTAGCAGCCTGCATATACTGTGTGCTGACTGCATGCTGGATCCCACTGTGGTCAACGACAGCATCTTGAGTCTGTAGATTCAGGCAGAAACAAAAACTGCCCGTGCTACAGAGCCAGGGACTTGATTATTGATGAGGCTGTTTACAGTACTTGCAGTAACAACTGTTCTTCTTGGTCCAGTGTTGGGGAAACCATAGAGCCTTATTTAATGAAGTTTTCTTCATTACCTGATGAACTATGCAAGCTGTAGCTAGAGAGGTTAGACATGTCCAACTCAAGCAGTAAACAATGACTAGTGTAAAAAAGATGATTAATGAAACGTTATCTTTTCCTATTTTAGGAAGTCGGAAGTATAATCGGAAAGGTAAGCTGGTATTTAATAAATATTTTGATTGTCTGTCATTATTTGAAGATCTGTGTGTTTCTAAGTGATAATGAGTCTGACTTTGATTCTCTGCTAATAGAAAGGTGAATCTGTGAAGAAGATGAGAGAAGAGGTGAGGCCTTTTGTCGTTATGTCTTTATTCTAGTTATGGTAAAGTACAAACAAATATAATTACCAAGAGGCCGGCTTTTATTGTTATTATAAGCAGCCACAGATTTGTCTTCACCATAGGAAGTTCTTCCAAATTTCTTCTTTATAAGTCCTTGCTCTTCTCTCTGTCTGCAGAGCGGTGCTCGCATCAACATCTCTGAGGGCAACTGTCCGGAGAGGATCATTACTTTGGCAGGTCCAACCACCGCCATCTTTAAGGCATTCTCCATGATCATTGAAAAGCTGGAAGAGGTAGGTCACAGATTATGCTGATTTATGAATTCACTGGTCGGCAGCAACCAGCCCCAACACAAACTAGATGAACCTTCATCTTTTATGTATTTTTTTCCCAGGACATAAGCAGCTCAATGACAAACAGCACAGCAACCAGCAAGCCCCCAGTGACCCTACGCATTGTGGTGCCTGCCAGCCAGTGTGGCTCCCTCATCGGGAAAGGTGGCTGCAAGATCAAGGAAATTCGAGAAGTATGCCTAGAAAAGAGAATTAAATTCAAAACAATACGAGCCCGACTCCTTTTTAGCATTAGCTGTCTTGTCACCTTTCCAGTACATCAAACACTGATGCACAGCGGGTCTTGAATTCTCATTTTACTCTGTTTGTGTGTTCCAGTCAACTGGTGCTCAGGTACAAGTGGCAGGAGACATGCTGCCCAACTCCACAGAGCGAGCAATCACCATTGCTGGTACCCCCCAGTCGATAATTGAGTGTGTGAAGCAGATCTGCGTGGTCATGCTTGAGGTAAGTAGACTCATGGAAGCTCTGAAGCAAATGAAGTGGCAGCTGTTGACCTTTTAAATTAATGATGTAAAATCGTGTTATTTCTGGGTTTTTGGCTGCTGTGCTTTGCGTTGGGACCGGGGATGTCTCGATCTGATCCACAGGATTAGAACTGTACAGCTATTACAAAATCATTACAGGGCAATATTCATAATATTGTTATAGTAAACTTTGAAGGATGACCATATTATTGGCTATATATATTCAAAATCCAAAGCTAATGAGCTGTCAAATTTATTTAGATAGCTTCACTAATTTTATAGTTGTACCGATATTGGAAATGCCTCCAATACAGCCTAAACTGTTGGGTATCAGGGAGTATGTGAGGCGATGCACTTACAGAATATCACTTAATCATATGATCCATCAGCTCATTTACACTACACTGGTACAATAACATTTGTCGATCCATACATCCTGCCCGATTGGTACTGCACATGTGCCAACTAGTACTACACCCTGTTTTCTTTCCTGTTAGTGCTACACTGTAAACAACAAATACGTGTTGAATTCGTCAGGAGGAGAGCTCGTTAACTTTAGTAGTTGGCAGCCGCTGGGCAGCACGGTGCTCCGTAACTAAATAACGGAGCTAACGGCTAACGTACGGAGGTTGCATTATGTAACATGAGTTCAAGCTCTATTCAGTGAGAATGAGTATTGGGTAAAGGTAAATCATGATGTGTTCAAATGTTGTCTTGTAAAATTAACGCTCTGGCAATAAACTGGAATATATACAGTTATTTAAAGATGTAAAATGGATATTACAGAGCAAATTATGACCTGTTAAACTGTTTTGTTTGTAATGCACTGGTAATTGGAATAGTACTCTGTATTAGCACATACGCAAGTTTAGGTATCGGGTAGGAAAAAATGGTCTCTGAACTAATATTCATTTGAATTCAAATTTTTGTTTGTTGTGTCTTCGTGCCAAATTTTTACTGCAACGTCCCCGGTGTATGCTGATATGCTTCAAGTAGAATTGTTGTTGGTACAAACGTTCGTGTACTACATTTGTAATTTTAAAAACTTCTACAGTAGATTTCGCTCCTTCTATATGATTACATGGGTAGCAATGTAGTAACACGTCCACCTTCTTTGTCTCCTCTGCAGTCTCCCCCTAAGGGGGTCACTATCCCCTACCGACCCAAGCCTTCAGGATCCCCCGTCATCTTCGCAGGCGGACAGGTACATACGACACCTTTTTATTCATGATGTCATTTTGGCTTGTATCAGTGTGGGATGCATATCTATGCAGAATATTATATACTTGGAAATATTTAAGTGAGATGAAAGGCTCAGAATATATTCACTCTAAGAAACATCTTGAGTGATAAATTCAGTTTTTTCTCATGGATATGATTGGGCACGACCTCAATAGTTATGAGTAACTGCAGGGTTTTAACCAAAGCTGCTTTTGCTGATTCTTTGAAGAGACAGCTAGTAGTAGTAGTCGGATGACCATAAAACCTTTTCCAGTTTGGTAAATGACCTTCTCTTTGTTATTTTAATGTTAAAGTTCCAACATGCTTTCTGGTGCTTGTTGGCTTAACATTACAAGGTCTTTAATATCACTAAATACATTTTTTATTTTTGAAAAGAAGAAAAACCTAACCCTTAATTACACTATAATGTCTCTAAAGATTTCTCTTTTCCCTCAAATGTGGAAACAAGACAAGACATGTGTGTTGATATTCTTAAATGATATCAGTTCAGAAGAGGCTTTGATGTGTTGGAGTCTTCTAGAGCTATCGGAGAGGTGGAGCGGTAACTTGACCCAAATCAGATGTGAGGCCCATGAAAGCTTTGTTTTTGATTGTTTCAGGCGTATGCCGTACAAGGACAGCACGCCATTCCACAGCCAGATGTAAGTGCAGACATTTTTATATGACCCCATCACTCCCACCCATAATTACAGCTGTCCTTCTCCAAAATGTGCAACCGCCATCCCACCTACACACGCCTCATTTTACAGCCTATAACTGTAGCTAAACTTGCCCCTAATTCAGTTTTTGACCTACTATTATCCTATTCTGTCATTTAGAGAGCAGCACTGTTTGTACTTCATGTTAGCCATTTGACTGGCAGTCAGTTAATTAAACCGACATTTGCCGTTTGTGTTTGTCCAGACTCTCCACTGTTCCATGAATAATAATCTGTTCCTGCTGCTCACTGTTTTCTGTGTTTTCCTTTTTATTGTTCTGTCTTGTTTAACGTGCCTCATTCATTAGTCTGTCCCAGATAAATATGTTGCGCCCCCCCCCCCCCCTTTCATTCACGCTTCATTATTACGTTGTACTCTGCCAACTTGTCTCTCTGCTAAATTTATCCTTCTCTCTTTTTAATGAGCTTTAGATGTTCTATCAGGAGCATTGGATGTGATAGACTGTATATTATTAGTCATACATGCCACTGAATATTATATATAGATATATAGTTTCATTAAAAAGTGTGATTATGTTTATCTAATCAGTTTGTCAATACCGACAGCAGTTTTTGTTTTTTAAAACTAGAATCTGTACCTTCCAGATTTAGTGGTAAAGTGTGACGCTAAGTTGAGATTTTCTCCGTTCATGTTTTGGGTCCTGTATTAGTGATGATTAGGAAATGGCCTCCACATTGAGAGCTCCCTCCCTTGTGTATTGTGACTTTGCCCTGACCCCGACGACTGCGAGAAAGCATTACCAAGAGATGCAGCCTGCACTTTGGAGGAATACCTACGGGGTACCCCACATAGACGAGTCATAAAACACAATGATTTTCAGACACCTGAGTAGAGCTTTGTGAAAGTATAAGAGACATACACGCCGCGGTGTGTTTTTGCGGAGCTTCTTTGTGTAGCTGTCTGTACTGACTGTGATCTGTTTTTGTTCTGTTTTTCCCTCTTCCTGTGTTTTCCATTTCCTCCATTTCTCTCCCTGCCCTCTCTGTCACTCTCACAGTCTTCCTCTGCTGCTATCTCTCCACAGCTCACCAAGCTTCACCAGCTGGCCATGCAGCAGAGCCCCTTCCCCATTGCACCAAGCAACCAGGGATTCACTGGTAGGCAGCACAACATCAGCCCCAAAAGTCCGGATTTGTTGCAAAATAATCAAATGTTGTTTTTGTTGCCCAAACACATTTGAAGAAAACTCAAATTTTACTCTTAATAACTTAAAGGGACAGTTCACCCTCTTACCTGTACAGCTATTTATCGGCCGTAGAGGTGTTGTCCTGCTCCAATATAAGAGGACTGTATGGCAGTATTTGAAAGACTCGGCAGCAATGTCCATTTCCAGAAATCATGACCCGGTTACTCCCGATAATCCACAGACCTGTGAGCAATTTGATGTAGAAACTATGGTTAAAAAAAATGGTTCCAACATCAAACTGCTCACAACAAATGTATCTCGTGTATTTTTGGGCATGTGTGTCCAGCTGTGTTGCTCCTGGTAAATTTAGATGAAGAGGTTGAAAACCATTTAGAACAAATACCGACTGATAGCGTTCGGTGCAACCGTAACAATGACTTGATCAAAATGTGGCAATAAACTTCAGCAAAGCCGACAGAAAATCATATGTAAAGCGAGACATTTCAGCACCTCTAAATGGACAGCGCTTTGAAATCTGTTGCTGAAGCTCATTGGGTCAATGGAGGGCGAGCCATTGCTTATGACATTTGATGTTCTGTCAGCCAAGTTCTACACATACTCCTTTGATTATTTAATCATTGTTAGTTATAACTTTCTTTTTATTTTTTTCAGGGATAGATGCTTCTGCTCAAACCAGTTCCCATGAGATGACCATTCCAAATGATGTAAGTGCTTCAAATTGTGTTTTTTAATCACTGTTAAAGTTATTGACTGTTTGCTCATTCACAATTCTGCTGTATCTATGATAACTGCAATCAAACCCACAAAAAATCCAAACAAACGCTCTAATAAGAAGAATAAGCGTTATTTAAGCTTGTTACCCCCAAGTTGCTAACTTTACCAGAGGCATGTGTTTTTTGTCTATTACGCGTTCCTCTCACTTAACTTCCCCGCTCTTCTCCACTGCAGCTTATTGGGTGCATCATCGGCCGCCAGGGAGCCAAGATCAACGAGATCAGGCAAATGTCGGGCGCCCAGATCAAGATTGCGAATCCAGTGGATGGATCGACTGACCGCCAGGTCACCATCACTGGCTCGCCTGCCAGCATCAGTCTGGCGGAGTACCTCATCAACGCCAGGTGAGATAATCAATCGGTGGTGTACTTTGTCAGCTCTCAACAGGTGATTCATTCAGTCTCAGGCTTTAAAGAGCGAATCGTTGAACGTGTTGTGCTGTGTTACGGTCAGTTTGTTTAAAATGTAGTCTATACGTTTTAAAGAAAAACACTTTCTTTACCTAACCTAGATCAGCTTTCTCCTGTCACAATACTACAGTAATCCATTAAAGAATAATAAAGCTTATGTACCCAATATCGTATGCAAATATAGAACAGGCCTACCTGCAGCATTGACTTTTTAAATGTGGATTTGTGTTCAAATTATTTAGTTTATGGTAATTCTTTGGCTACGGTTAATCATCACTTTAGTGTTGCTAGCTCTGTCTTGGTCTGCCTTTTCCTTTATTCTGCTCTTCACTTGGCTTCACATCAATCAATCACTGAAGATGTGATTTTTTTTTTTTTAAATTCTCCTTTTCCTTTTCGGGTTGACACATTTGTTTCTAATGAAGCTTTTTGTCTTGTTTTGATCACATCCCTGAGTGATTTCTCCCCCCCCCCCACACAACTCCCTCACCCCCCTTCCTACCCCTGCCCCCCCTCCCCCGTCCCACCCATTGCTCACCAGCCTGCCCTGTGACCCATCCCGACTGTGTTGTCCCTCTCTCCTTGTCTCTCTTTCTACAGTGTAGAGTCCTCTAAACCTCCTCCCTCCTCCTCCTCCTTGAACCCTGAACAGACCAGCCTGTGCTCTCCCTCCACCTCTACTACTACTACTACCACCACTACTACTACTGCTACTACCACCACCTCCTCTGCTGCTATCTCTTCCTCCTCCTCCTCCTCCTCTTCCTCCTGTGTGGTGCCCCCCTCAGCCTCCATCCCTCTGTCCTTGTTGGCTCCAGGGCCGCCTCCTCCCTCCTCTTCCTCCTCCTCCTCCTCTTCCACTGATTCCCTGCTCCCCAGCTCTCCTGCCTGTGTGTCAAGTCTCCTCAGTCTCAAGCCCCTCCCTCTCCTGGCCCTCCATGTTGTCAGCGGGGCCAGTAACCCCGCACACCCAATACCCGCTGAGCCCAAAATCGCCCCCGAGCTGAGCTCCAAGTCTAAAAGGCGAAGGCTTTCCCCTTACTAACCAAGGAAACATAAGTCATCTACTACTAAAGTACTGACGATGCTCTCTGTTGTTTGTACCTGCACTTGCTTTTGTATCTGGCTGTGCCACGCTTCCTACAGAAAACAAATGCACAGTGTTGAACAGCCAGACAAATGGCTGCTGCCATATTTATAAAATGCATATCTGTAGCTTGATTTGGCCTGTCTCTTAAAGATAAGACATGTTGAGTGCATTCTATTTTTAAATGACTTTGAAACGAGCATGGACGGTGAATTCCTTCACTGGTTTTACTGAAGCGTTTGTCTCTTTGTGTAAGCTCTGCTCAGGTAGCGGCTCTCTTTAAGATGTCATATTGTATTCATGGGAATAGTTTTCTTCTGGTGAATTTTACGTGACCATTGTTGGCCGTTTATAATGGAGAGTATATGTACCATGTTGGTTTTATTTAATTTTTGCCTATAAATGAAGCAAATGTAATTTCAATTCCAAGTAAATCTGCCCTCAGGTATCAACAGCGACAAACCCTTTAGTTAGAGGACTGTAGTGATGTGAAAAATACTAAAACATACAACCAGTTAAGCTTCGCTTTAAAGGAATAGTTTGACACTTTGGGAAATACTAATTTGCATCTTATGTTGAGAGTTAGTTGAGAAGATGAATATCACTCTCATGTCTAGACGTTAAATATGTAGCAATGGCCAGCTTAACAGAGAGACTGCAAACAAGGAGCCAAGCTCTGTCCAAAGTAAAAGCGCCTCTAAAGATTAGGAATAAAATAAAAAGCCAACACATTGTGGTTTTACTCGGCTTACGTGTCACACTATTTCACGGCCAGAAGCAGTGACTTCCTGAAGTTTTGTTTGCAAACAAACCAGATTCAATATGCTAATTAGTGAGCGTTAGAGGGGCTGGTAGTACAATTCTGTTATCTTTGGACAGAATGAAGCTACCCCTTTCCAGTTCTTTATGCTAAGCTAACTGGTTACTATCAATCTTAATTCTCTAAGAATGCGAGTAAGCATGTTTCTGAAGATGTAGAACTTTAAAACTGCTTTATTAAATCAGAAAACAATGAAGTATCAGTTTGAGAGCTGACTCTTAACGGCTGTTGAAAAGAGGAGCAGCCAAACTGAAGTAATTATCTTTTTATATCCCAGCATACCTTTCCTGAAATCAATGTATTGATGAACCTTATCTAGCATTTTATTCTAATGATGTAATGTACTGTAAATGACATTTATCTTGCCTGTCTGATTGCATGCCTTATTCTCTCTCCGGGTGTCTCTCTGTTTCTCCAGGCTTTCCTCTGAGGCCACAGGACTGGCAGCCAACTGATACACACTGCATCTGCACTAAATCTCACTTTTATATCATCGGCCACCATAAAGCAGTCAATGCAACTATCCAACTTAAGAGTTTATATATTATGCTGCCTCTTCCTCATTTGAAATCATTTCAACCGATTTTGATCTGCTGAGTTCATTATTTATTTCATTTGTTTTGGTTTTAGTCGAAAGAAGCAAACAATTAGGTTTTTAATTCCCTTTTTGAGTCGAGTTGGAGGTTTTAATGATTTATTACTTCTATCTTCCCTTTTTCTTTCTTTACCATCACAGAGGAGTAGAGTTTGAAAACTATGAATAGGCATATAGATTTAGTTCTGTACAGTCATTTTTTTTTCTTTAAAAAGGAAAAGACAAAAAAGGAAAAATAAAAAACATATCAAAAATAAGAATAGAGTGACTTTTATTCTGTGTTTATATAGACGCGCCCCCCTTTCCTCACCCAGTTCCACAAAGTCCACCTCTCTATTTTATGTCCATACTCACTTAAACATGCACATCATTCTCCCCCTTTGTCACCGTTTCAAGTTGAAGTTCTTGTAACATTGATTACACTCGTGTCACTGAGAATACGTAGCTGTACAATGCACTGTCACTGATTATTATGTTTGGTTATCATGACAAATGTTTTAACACTCTTGTTTAAATTTATCCAGATCATTTGAAATGTGTATTACTACACATGTCAATTTTCCCCTTCTCCACACGTCGTTCCTGTTTTCCCCCTCTCCTAGTCCTGAGATCATGTGTTCAAATTTTGCTGGGATGGGAGGTTTTGGGGGGATCTGGGCTTGGCTCTAGGAATCTGAAGCAGAGGGTTCTCCTCACTTTTTTTGTAAAGACTGATATATATATATATATATACTTAAAAAAAAAAAAAAAAGTTGGAATATTGTTTTAAATGGAGGAACTATTTTTTTTTAAACTACCAAAGGGGGATGAACTCCTGTAAACTGAGTGATCTGTCTATTGGATGTGATGATGAGGCTGAGAACTGAAATGATTGAAGCTCTGGAACTAGACAAAGAAAGGGTTGTGAGTTAACACTAGTTTCCTGCTCTTTGCTTTACTCAGAAAATGATTTTATTTTTTATTTGCAGGAAAGAAAAACTTTTGTGCACGTTTTCAGACTGTAGACCTGGGTGCCACAACATTGTTTAAAAAAAACAAACTGAAATAAAGATGTGAAATGCTCAAACCACAACTTGTCTTGAGGGTTTTGTCACCGGCTGAAGTATACTGAACACACAAGTGAAGAGATTTTATAGGTTGGATTTTAATTTAAATTGTTTCTTAAATATATTTATTGTACAGTTACAATAATAGAAAAAGAAAACGTTTCAGTTCATACAGGTTTTTTTTTTTTCCAATCAGCATCACCGGAAACACAAGTACCTCCACAATCGAGACACTAGAGGGCAGTAGTTTTGCTTTTTGGCAACGTTTTATCCTGCAGCAGGAGTCCTAGCTTAAAATATTGGGGGCACAATCTGTTTAAAACAAATTGAAAGTTCAAAACGTAACACCAGATTTAAAAAACAAAGCTGCCTTTTCTAGCTTATTGAGTGGAACCTGATCAGTCATCAATGAGTGGAACAGGATGCAGTTTGCTGTTGTGCAGTCAGATTGACCCACATGCACACAAGAAGGCTTGTCAAGGGACACAAGTACATCAAAACCAGAGTTTTATGTATCACACCGTCTTATGAAGGAGCCTTTGCACAGTAGTAAAATAATTACCATCTGTTGGCCAAAAGTTTAGCTGGTGAGGAGTCGGGCAATGGCAGAGAGACATTTATGTAAAACATCACCATCTAAATGAATCTGCTATAATGGGGGGGGGGGAAGGCATTAAGTAAAAGTGGCCAAATCACAGGCCTCATTTTTAGGCACTAACTTTTTTTTATATTTTTGAGAGTGGACAGGGAAAACTGCTAAATTGGGTTCCACATTTTTCAGCAATACTGATGAAGCTAAAGGTAATTTCTGCCATGTTCTGCCACAGATAAGCCAGATATAGCTTTGTGTTTTGTGTCCCTGTCATCCATATGCCTTCATGCCTCCAGTCTTTTTTTCAATGGATGGATCTAATATTCTAGTGACCAAAAAGCCACACATACTTTATCACAAGCATGCTTTTCTGATGCTATATACATCCCTAGATGTTCAAAAAGGGGGTTTCAAACTGGTATTGCGTTTTAATACAGTCAACACTGCAATACAAGTAAAATAAGCCCATCTGCCCTGAATGACGTCAGCTGTGGTTCTTTTGACCCGTGACACGACAGGCGCAGACATATTGCTTTTTCTTTGTTCACATGTTCCTCTTTTATCTGTGTTTTGATGCTCGGACATGAACAGCAGCTACAGTACATTCTACTACCATAAGCTTCTTGAGGTTCAAATAGAGTAGCGCCACCTAATTAGAAACATCAGCACCTTTAAATTATACAATCTCACATTTTAAAAATTTGTTCATTTTACAACATCACATATTTACATAGATATTAAAACACGGGTGTAGAAAATGGAAACATAATCCATGACACAAATATAAATAAAAAAACAATACAAATGAAAAATGTAAACGTTTTTTTTTTAAAGAATATCGATGAATTCACTGTAAAATAACCATAAATTAGTCAGTGCATAACGTTTTGCGAGGAAATGCAATATGACACGATAATCACGAGGAAATCAGTACATTTCATGAATTAAGTGCAAGCAGCCACATCGGCGGGTGTCCCAGTGACGTTGACAATAGAAACATTAGAATATAATGACACCCTGATAAGATCTTATAATCACATTCTCGTATGGCATGAAGTGAAATAATGACACATTTTCATGATGGAGATAAAAAATACAAATCAATATGGAAGATGAAAGGAGATGTTAATAGACAGTCGTGTGGATGGCTTCTTTGACTGAGGCCTCGGTTGTTGAGGTGTTTTTGCAAAGCTGATCCTGGGCCAGTTGCTATGACGGCTGCTGCTCTGTCAGCTCGGCTAGTGCCCCACTTCAGTTTCACATCACTTTGGAACACTCACCAAGGGTTTGTTTTGTCTTGCTGCTCGTGATGACAGAGAACCGCCTCGTTTCCTGCCTCACTGCAATGTCCCTGATCATGTCTCTTTGCATTTGAAGGTCTGTTGGAGTAAACGAGGCATTTGCAGGCCAGATCTGCAGGAGTTTGAGTGGGTTGAGGTGTCAGATTTTCACCAGGTGGCTGGAGGTTGGCTGGGCTCTGCACTGCCTGAATGGTCCAGCTCTGCACTGTCGCAGTCCGAGTCATCACACAGGCCCTGGTGTGAAGGAAAAAACATGAATTATCTGAGTTAGAGCAGCAACAGACCCCAATGTTAACTCCAAAAGCAGATTCTGACCTATTTTCTGCATTTTAGTATCTGCTAGCTCGCTATATACAATATATATATCAGTCTATATGATGCATTCTCCTTTCATTCACTCTCTTCTGCCTACCTCATAATTGTGATCGTTACTAGCGAGCTGCGTCTTGACTTGCTGAAGAATAGCTTCCTTCTCAGACAACCCGTCAGAGCCCAGCTGGGTTGACTCAGACGGGTCAGCGGGAATCTCCGAGCCCTGAGACAGCAGGTCGTCGCTCTTGTCGTCGAGACGCTCGTCGGTGTTGGTGCTGACCACGTCCGGTGTGCCGCTGTGGGAGTGGTCGGTGGTGTTTCCCTCCTCGCCGTCCGACACCGACAAGTTCTCTGAGCTGAAGGTGGACAGGGACTGGCACTTGCTCATGCTCGCGGGACGCCTGAGTGGGAATGCAACAGGAAAGAGTACATATACAATAAGTACTTCACAGCAGAGATACATGATGGGTGAAAAAAGAGGGTTTCTCTTTTTTGGGCCCAGTGGGCCCAGTGGGCCATGTGAATGCAACGTTGAAAAATGTGACAATATTCATGTTAAAAAGTGAAAGCTAATGCCAACATTTGTGTCTCTTCAGCCACATACATTGTGGCTGAACATCACGCTTGCATAATTTTTTGTTGCTAATATTCACATACACTGTATGGATGTACAGAGGGAAATATAAATAGACCTTCAATAGTTATATTTAAGTTTTCAACAACTCGTACCGTCTCCTTGGCAACTCCACTTCGCTGTCCACCTCTCCTTCCTCTTCCTCTGACGACACTCCACGTCTCTGCAGAGGAGATCAGTATGTATGAAACCCCAGTGATTCCATGTCTCATTTCACATTAATCACCCTCATTCCTGCCAAGACCCCTGAGCCGTCTGGTAAGATATTCACTGCGTCGCTTTCAGACAGCCAAAGGGACTGAGAAATGCTTTTTGCTACTTATTCATATTCATCACCGATTTCTAAATTGTGGAACATACAAATACCCCGAGCTACTTCATGTTAAACAGGAAGACAAATGCACAGGTGGCAGCAATTAACCACTTTAATGTAGTCTTTTCACCGCACTCTGTGGTTTCCGTGTGTTATTATTTGTAGCATGGCATCTATAAAACAAAATGAGGATATATTATATTCAACAGATTAGGTTTTATTCGATTAGAGTCAAAAAAGTTTTGACTATCTGGACTTCATCAGTGTCAATTATTACAGCAAAACAGATTTCATAGTATGACAGCATTTTTCTACTGTTTGACACCTCTACAGATGCTGAGACAGTTGTTATTGTAAGTAAATACACCTTGGTTTGAGTCAAGACAGAGACTTGTATATACAGAGACAGAGGTTGTATTTCCCCAAAGCCTCTCACTGCTAATTAATCTTTGCACCCTTATAAGGCAGAAGCGAAAATGATTTTGTGAAACTGGGCCACAATTCGACAATGCTTTGTCTAACTAGAGTAGACAATGCTGTTGAAGAACCTCACCTGACTGCGTGTGACTGCTGCCCTGTAGAGCAGTGCAGCGGGAGTGAGGCGTTGACTTCTGGGCGAGCGTGTGATGACCACCCCGTCCTCCTTCTCCTCACCCTCGTGGGAAACACGGGGGTTTCCGAGCACGGACGCCCTCCCTGCAGCGGCTCCCCTGCCGCATGGTGAGTCGGGGCTGCTGGAGAAGGGGATAGAAGCTGCGTCCTCGCTGGGCGTGTCACTGCGTGGAGGTGTTTCAACCAGGTCATCTGTCCCTACATTCACATCTGGCCCCTCCTCGGGTCCTTCAGTCCTTCTACTCTCCCCCAGCCCGGCTGATGCGCTCTGGCTACCCGCTCTGTCCAGCCCCGGCCTGACCTGCTCCTTCCTCCGGCCTTCAGCCTCCAAGGTGGTTGAAATGAGATCCGGGCTCGAGGAGTACATCTTCTTGAGCAGCAGATCGTGCTGCAGGCCTCTGAGGGCTGCACTTGGGTCTAAATGCTGCTTGCTGCTGGGAACAGATGAGGTGGTGTTGACCATGGCTAATGAAGAGGAGAGAGTGGCTTTCAGCTGAGCCAAGTCCCCACTGCTGCCTTTACCAGCCTTCCTGTAGCGGGGTTTTCCTCGGCGTGAGCGGCCAGGGGAGGTAGAGCCCTTGTTGGGGATTGTGACCTGGGTCATGGAAGAGTCCAGTTTGGGGAGGATGACCTCTGACTTTAGTAAGTCTGGCCTGGAAAGGTACAGAGACAGAATGAATAAAAAATAAGGGGAAAGAAAAAACTTTTAAATGCATTCATTGCTTAATAGGTGCAAGGTTATCTTGTGCACTCTTCCCCATACACATCGGAGGTTGAGGCTGGAAATATTCGATATTTTTGTTATTGTCAACAAATTCCCTAAATTAATCCTGTCCAAATCTATCCTATCCTATCTATCCTATTTGTGGCACTCAGTCCCAAGACCATTAGTTCCTATTAGAGATGTATGTTTTTAAATTGCTGGGAACTTTAGCAAACATCACTCAAACAGGAGTAAATAGTTTATTTGCTGGGGAATATTTTAAACTGTGGATTGGTGTGCATGTCACCCAGTTCAATAGTGTGGTTATAATAATAGTTTCCGGATAACGGAACGGAGGTTTACATGAGACAAAGGAATTAGCAATAATCAAGTAATGTATACCCATTACCCAGGCAGTAATTGTTAGTCTGATTTAACTTAATTAATCATTGGTTTTGGTCTCATTTGTTGACATTAAAAATATCACCAGACGTATCCTTTAACACGGCCTTGGGGTTCCCATAATATTCAAGAGAAACTTGATCCAACCAGCCACAAATAAATGCTGCAAACTTAAATAACTCCTCGCTGTCCCACCTCTTGCTGTGTGAAGGCAGCTTCTGAGGTACGTTGCGTTTCTTCATGAGCTTCTCCATCGAGTTGGAGGAGGCCGACTGTCTGGAGCTTTGGTGCTTATTAAAGCAGCCTGGGTTCTTCTTGTCCAGTGAATGCTCCCTCCTAATGTTTAAACACAAAGCCAATACTTGTTTAATGGATGTCAATGGATACTCATCATGGAATAAGAGAGCACTTTGTTACATTCAGTGGCCCTGTGTGACTGGGCGGAATGGCCATTCACTTTGCATTACGGACGACCTTTTACATACTCTTTCATTTCAAAAACACTGTTAACCACTGTTGATGGTGAAAGTATTTGAATAATTACAACCCTAGTTTTCAATCTGTTACAGTGCAATACATTTTTAAAAATGACTAAAGTATACCGCCCTAGTCTACTTGATTTCTAACGATTAACTTTTCACTCACATTCTCAGTGCAACCTGACAGAACTTATGCAAAGCTGATAAGAGACCTATCCACACAGTCTCAAATCTGTTCATGCTGCCAAAGAGGCATCTGCTAAACATTGACTTATGCAAACAAGTATTTTATGTTTTCAATTCATTTTGAGCACTTTGTAGAGACCTGTTTTTACTTTGACATTAAAGGGACTTTTTCTGTTAATCAACACCAAATGCTACATTAGATTCCCTTTGATTCAATGTCATGAAACATGAAAACTTCCAAAGGCGTTGAATTAAAAATCTAAACTAAAACTGTTAATCAAAGGCAGTTTTCATACTTGTGCAGTTCTTTCTCTTTGATCTCCAGCTGCAGCATGATGGCATTGAGCTCCATGTAGAGATTGTTGGCTCTCTCCAGTTTCCTCTCGTAGTGCTCCCGGATGTCCAGTGCATGTCTGCGTGGAGAGACATATGGGGAGGACTTAAATACATGTATCTAAATGTGTGGGTTTTTCAATGGTTGGCTAATCCTTATGTCTTTGTTAGTGGTACATATATATATACTGTATATATCCACATCTATAATTCAGGAAGTTCTTTGTGTCTTTGTGTCCATGTTACACTTTCTTTGCTAACCTGAGTTCTTCTCTGCGTCTTTTGATCAGCTCCTCGTCCAGCCTGTGAAGACACGTCCCCTCGGACTTGATCTTCTCAAAGTGGTGCCTCACCTCATCCCTCCACTCCACCTGGAGAAACACATGGAACACTTCCATCAGAGCAGGTATTAACGAGTTACAGTAACTGAATGTTCCACCATTTTACAGGTACAATAATTCATAAAAAATGTAGTATAAAGGGTTCAAAACATTTTAGCATCTTCTTCATCTTCTAATATCACTACTACTACCAATACTATGATCAATGCTTCTACTCCCAGTAGTGTAATTAGCTCTTTAGCTGGAGATACAACAAGAGACCAAGCAGGTACCTGCTCCATAATATATTCAGAATTTTATATTCTGTCAGCTCATTCTTTCCATCTACAACACTTTCTAAGCTCCTGTTTTTACATTCTGTGACGTTCTTATTACGTAATTTGCGTAATAACAGTCACAACAGGCGACATCAATATTGAGCATAAACTTCATTGCACCTTGATCTGCTAAAAAAGCTCCTAATTTGCAGAACGACTGAGTATCATTGAAAGAAAACCCATTAAACTGTCAGACGATAATCAATACACAGAGAGCAAAACTGAACATGAACTGACATGACATGAGCACAAAAAAAGATGCAGCGTGAGCATTTTCTTGCACACAGTGGAGCATGACAGCTGTTATCTGATACCTGTCATATCAAAGGACAAAGGACGTCTGATATATGAGTGTGTGCACGTGCATGCATTATGCGTGCACCATGTGTGTGTATTTCTGCCTGCGCATGAGTGATGCTCTTCTTATTAAGCTAATGGACTCTTGTGCGCACTCTTCTATCTCTCCAGTCCCCTCTTTCTCCTCTCTCTTTACTCTCTGCGCCCTACCATTAAAGCGATCAATACACTCCAGCAGCAAATACTTCTTTCTAACGTCACAAGAAAAATCCATTATGGGCAGAGAGGAGAGAAACTGGGGAGGGTTGCAGCGGGGGAAGAGGAACAGGGAGAAATAAAGGATCAAGGATAAGTGCAGAGAGTTAAAGAGGTTTGTATTTTGCATCATGAGACATAAAAGAAGACGGACGCAGTGGGTTGCTGCTGAGGAGGAAATTAAATCTTATTCATTTTGTGTGTTTGTGTGCATGAGTGTGTCTTACAATTACACATGCTTGAGTTATAAATGGATCTGTGGTTCTGCATGGCTGAGTAAAGACATATCTTCCACACAATTATACTTTTCTGTCTCCTGTCCTTCATCTGTTTGGGTTCGCAGTGGTCTAATGTATTTGCCATTGGCCTCCCCATCCCCCACCCTTTCACAGACACACCCTCTCCATCACAGAGACCTTCACCATCTCACTTGGATATGATGGGAGGCTGAAATCTGTGACAAGGAACAAAGACCAAGGAACCAACAACAATATGTTGTGATTCAAAGGACAGGTATTATTAGTTGGGTGTCCCGGGGGCCCCGGGGCCCCCAGTGCAGCTACACTGCTTGTAGTTACTGCAGCAGACTGGAAACAAATGGGAGCAAGTTGACGGCAAAATTAGTATTAGAGATACTGCCTGCTGTTGACAGGAGGTTTTCTATTAAGAGAAATATAGAGCTCATGCGTACTTCATCTGATCTGTCTATTTATTTATATGTATTTGACAAAGGAGACTTGATTCTTCTCAATTATATGTTCCCTTAATTACAAATGTAAAGTGTCTGAACAAGATTCTGAATTAAGTGCTGTTTGACTTTATTCCCGCTTTCTGGCTACTTTCTATGTTATCTCTAAACAAATAAATAAATCAAATTGTACTCGTCATTTGATGAATTTCAAAGTTCGACTGTTGGCAGAGATAAGGGAAACATACCTGAGACTGAAAGTAGGATTCTTGTGGAGTCGATAGTATATCTGCTGAGGCGATGTCAAGATGCAGGAGAATCTGTCGGAAGGAAGGCCTGTTTCTTGGCTTGCAGTTCCTGTGCACAATGTAAACAAAATATTTAGTCAGAAATGCAAGAAACATGGAATTAAATGAACTTTCCTCTCTTATAATTTTTGATCCCTCTGAGTAAAATATCTTTTTCATGGTTTTTTTTATGTTCCTCAGCCTCCTTAAAGCTTCTAACTTCATTATATTCTCTTCGTGCTGATGCCTCAACATCATTATTCTTCCTTCCATCTCTATCTGCTTCCTTCCTCCTCCTCCTCCCTTCCACTCACCAGCATTGCCTCAGGAGCAGTTTGAAGCTGTCTGGGCAGCTCTCAGGTACAGGCAGATTTAAACTGTTGTTGCCCACTCCCCAGATGATGGCGGATGAGTCCACATCCTTATAGGGCACCTCCCCTGTCAGCATCTCCCACAGCACGACACCGAATGACCTGCGGAGAGATGTGGAGTATTTACCTTCAGACACATTGATGAAGATGTCAACTGAACTGATGAAAGGGAGCGTGACTGAAATGTCACACTTTTAACTTTGCAGAAATAAATCTTGAGATTCAGATTAGAAATGTTACATCTCATGGATGCGTTGTCACTGTGAAACGCCTTTGATGCTAATGCCTTGTGGGCAGTCTGTGGTAGTTTATTATCAAGGTTTAATCAGTTTGGTATGAAAACTTTTATCCCTGCAAACAATTTTCTATCGTTACTAGTTCAGCATAATCCACAATAATGTACAGTATATTGTGATTTCTCTTTAATGTACATGAAGCTTTTATGAATCATATACACACCATGATAAATACATCACTGTTGATGTTTTGCCACAACACAGAGCTTTATTTCATTGATGATCTCCATCTTTGTGTGGTACGAGAGAGCAGGAGAGCGGTCCACGGGGAAGGTAACGAAGGAAAGTCTGTTGTTGGTTGGTGACTACTAGGGTTGCCATGGTGATCATTTACAGTATCCAAGGTGCCAGTAACATCACGCACAGCAATGAGGAGGTGTGTGATGTTGTGTTTACACTTGTATTTTTAAGTCTCCTCCATCTACTTGTCTTTGATTCATGATATAAATGCACAAGAAGAGATGATGATTTCAAGGCTAAACTAGGTTCAATATTAGCTGTCAATTAAATGAGTTATTGGTTGATTTCTATATATACAGCGTAATATAATTCACTAATATAATGAATGACCCGTTTGTCAATTCAGTGACACTTATCTTAAAGTAGCAAAAGAGAAATGGAAAAATGTGCCATTACAAATAAAAGTGATGCAGTGCACTTAAAATAAAGCTGCTCTCCACATCTGTTGAAGCAATTTTCTCTTAAAGATATAGAAATGAAAATCACCACTTTCTTGCATAAAATGAATTTTGTTTGATAATTTTATCCAGCAGCAGCAGCATCATACAGAAGCCAGTCAATATACTGTATAGGCTCCATGTTGTCTGCCTATGCCCTGGTGTTACAGTAAGTAACATTTTCTTATGTTGTTTTGTGATTGTTTGATATTTAGATTAATGTATCACCATTTACGTTTTTCAGCTTTGTGATTAATAGTATTTATTCTTTCTTCTCCTATTTATATTATGTTGTTATGTTGTGAAGGGCTGCCATTGCAGGAGCAAACATTGTTGAATTGATTTTAGTTAACGTTCGGAAATATTACATTTAGTTTAATTCATTTAATTTAATTCACTTTAAGATGTGATTATGTTAAATTCTAGCTCTGTCTTTCTTAGTATAGTCCTTATAAGAGATCAGACAGGAACATGAGTTGTACCAGTTGTTAAAGTATGTCAGCACAACACAAAACTGAAAACATACAACACAATACTTCACTATATAAAACCGACTCACTCTTTTCATGGTATGAACTACGACATAGTTTACATAGATTTAAGCAAAAGTGGATGGTATAAACCCTTGCTTTGCTTTCTTTCCACATGAAAAGCTTTTTAATCCTATTTTCACTTCTTTGCTAATGCACTGCTGGCCCTGGGCCAAACCATCCGCAGGCTTGGAAGGTTATTCCAGCCTCTCCTGAGCACTGCAGCATCTGGCAAATCAATTATTAAATTAGCCAGCGTTCCTTTCAGGACGGAGTGGAAGAGTGATGGAGGGATGCAGGATGGGAAAGAGAGGGGGCGAATGTATTGGGGGAGATCGGGGCTTAACATAGGGCAACCCATCAGATTTGGCCGAGGCCCTATAGAATTTCATGTAATGGGATATTGTACATAATACTCAATAGATTTTCTGGAAATAGGATCCTGTGCTCTATACTGTAGTAGGCTGTAACTAATGACATTTTATGTTGATAAGACAGATAAGACAAATCATAAGGGGAAATTGCAGAGGTTCACCAGTGCAAAAGGACAGTGTAAAAGGGTTATGACACCTACCAAATATCCACTTTCTCTGAGACGGGTTCGTTGCGTATGACTTCAGGAGCCATCCAGGCCACCGTACCAGCAAAGGACATCTTGGTGCTCTTGTCGATGAGCTCCTTGGACGTGCCGAAATCAGAAATCTTCACTGCGTCATCGTAAGTGATCAGCATGCTGGAATGAAACAGTGGATATTTGGAGTGGAGTTTATATTTGAGTTTATCTGTGTACAAAAATAAAACCAGCTTCAAGTTAAATCGGCTGTAATCAAAATGTTTACTAAACGTAAACCTATTCAAAACAATCATTGGGTCAGTCAGTAAAATGACACGCATTCAAATGAACTGAACTATTTCAGTTGGAGCTAAGCTTTAATTGTAACTATTTAGTGACGTCTTTGCTTTAACATTATCATTTACATTTGGATTACAGAGCGTTAACCACACAATTAATTTTGACCAGGTCGACAAAACTCACTTTGGTGACTTGAGGTCTCTGTGGATGATCTTGTGGAGGTGAAGATAGTTCATGCCCCCGGCGATGCCCATGGCCCAGTCCATGAGCAGGGATGGATGGATCTGCCTGCCTGCTCTCAGCACTTCATACAGCTGTCCCTGGGCACAGTACTCCATGATGATACAGTAACATGGAGCCTGGGTACAAATACCTCTGTGGAGTGTATAGATACCAAGACAGAACATATTAGAGTTGATACAATGCCAGGAAAGAATGGAAAACATGAATATTTATAGGCATTTTACTGTTGTTTAGTGGAAAGCTCTGTACACCTTGTGATCTAATAAGCCAACTGATCGTTCCTACTAACTTGAAAGTGATGATGTTGGGGTGTTTGAGCTTGCGCAGGTGCTTGATGTCTGTCTCTTTGATGTTCCGAACTTTCTTAACAGCCACTTCCTGTCCGTACAGTTTGCCCAGAAAGACGGCGCCCTGTGCTCCGCTGCCCACCCACTGCAGGTCAGATATCTCCTCGAATGGGATCTCCCACGCCTCTGAGGTTGGGGAAAAAAGATGGCGGCAAAGCAGTTGGTGAGTTTATCGGTGTAGTAACAGATCAACTATGGATACAGAGCAGATTGATGATTATCATATTAACCTCTACTGATTTCAGGTTATTTTGGCCTGTAAACTCATATTCTTAAGTGAGGCTGATGTTTCATAGTAAAACACCAGAAAGTTATTAACCACTGCGCCTTGAATGAGTAATATAAATATGATTTATGTTTTTTTATTTGATTTTGTGAAGATTAAGCAGCCTGAACTATTCCTTTAATATGTCAACATGGTTAAATGTTATACAAATGAAACGAAAACAAAATGTTTAGTCATGTTCAGTTGTTGCATACGTTCAAAATCTGTATCAAAAGCTTAAACTAAGCTTTTTTAAATAAATCAAGACAGAAAAATCCTGAATGTAAAACTAAAGCTAGTAGCAGCGAGCATACAGCAACACAACAGACTGAGCTATTTTACAAATATAGGTTGGACCTGTAACAGTAAAACCTGCAATAAACTTTGGCTCTTACAGTCAACGCAGAGCCCAAGTTGAAATCTTTTTCGGTTGTTGAACCTCACCTTAACCTAAGACTCAGGGTGTGCAGGCAGATAGACAGGAAGCTCTAATCTCCTGTAGGTAATTCTCCCTCAGCCTCCTAAATCCTGCTTAGTGCCATTGTGGGGCTGATGCAAAACAGGGGTCCAACGCTCAAGGGAAGGGGGGCGGGGGGGGAGGATTTGAGAAGTTGAGAGCCTAATGTGGATGTACGTTGAATAGGGAGGTGGACAGGGACGACAGTAGTGGTGGTGGTAGATCTGTTTGTGTGTGAGTGTAAAGAGACAAGAAGGGAGGGGGATTCCCTTTGGGTCGGCAGGGGTCCATGTGGCTGAAGACAGATTATTAATAAAGAGAAAATATACAGCCTGCTCTGCTGCTGTTCTTAACTCGCTGAAAGAAGATTTAGACACATTTATCATATTAATAAGGACGATATGAATGATTAACGATCCCCTGATAGATTGAGGACACTGTCTCTAATGAGCCCCTCAAATGTCCCACAGTAAAGACATAAGGCCACATCTGACACACCAGAATACTGCCAGGTCTGCTTGGTTTGATCTGAAGAATTGAGGAAATCTAGAGCATCACTAAGCACCCCATAGTCCTTCACAATCAATAAAGGACAGACAGTTTCCCTGCTTTCTTTTGTGCTACATTGTGCCTTCCAATCAAAGCTTAAGAATAGAGCATTGTGATATGGTAGATAGACATTCAATGGCAGTGCCCCTATTTATGTCACTCTTATAATATCCGTTTTGCTCTCGTGAGTGTGTGTGACTCCCTGCGATGCTGCACGGAGGAGGGGAGCAGCGAGGTGCAGATGGGCTGGAAGTGATAACAGCACAGGATGAAAAGGAGAGAAAAGGAGACAATGAGAGATGGAAGGAGGAGGGGAGCGGAGGGGAGATGTGGAAGTCAAACGGGTGATAAAATATCAGAAGGCTATAAAGACAAGGAGATACATTTTCCATCTTCAGGTCTGATGTGCGATACTGTATTTATTCTATCAAGTTTGTTTTTGGCATCTTATCTTACTTTATGTGTTTGTGTCATTGCCAGATATTAAGTGTTTTTATTTGTGGACGTGTTTATGTGTGTGAGCAGCCATCCTTGGGCTCCCATATGTGTGTGTCAGGTTTGCGTTAATAGAGATGAGAGGCGCAGGGTCGGAGCGTGGCCATGCATAATTCATGGAGCAGATTTGGCAGAGGAGTCCCGGGGGAGTTCTGCGCTATTGTAGTGGCTGCAGACATAAACAACACAGCGTCACAGGGAGCTAGTTTCTTTGAGAGGGGAGTACTGGGGAGAAGGTGTGGTGGGCACAAGCAGGCGTGGATGGGGGGGGGGGAAATATCAGGGGAAAATAAGCCCTTTTCAGCTTTGATAGAGTCTCTCTCTGGCTGCAGCTCTTTCACGTCAAGGAAAGTGTTTGTTTACAACATGGCCTTTGTGGGAGTCATTTTTCTACCAACTGTTTAATGTAATTAAACTGGAGGATAAGATCATTTAATTAGCATACCAAAGTTTCACACTGGAATTAAATGGGAGCTGGTGCTTGCTTCATTGGAAAGCTATAACCAAGTGTGTGTAGATGGATTTGACTGCTAGACTTACCGTCCAGGCCGTGTTTGTGCTCTGTGGAGTAAGCTTTGCCAATCATAGTCCAGACAGGCCGCAGACACCCAAACAACCCCTCCAGAAACCCTCCTCCCCCTCCGGTAGACTGGCACTGTAGCCTGGCGACACCCGCTTGGCTCCTGACGGCACTGCCGTCCATCTCCTGCCCCTCTCCCTCTGTCCTTCCTGGACTCCCATCATGCTCATGGAGCTTCAGGACACTGTTGGCAAAGTGCTCCTGTTGTTCCTCGCCTGGTGTCTGGTTGTGTGCAGCAGTCTGCCCCTCTCCTCCTCCCCCCCCAGGCTCGACAGCACCTCCGGTGTGTATGGAGAGGACGTTGCGAAGGACGCACTGGGTCGGGGTAAGGTCCATTTCTGGGGTGCAGGGTGTTTCGGCATCGTGACGACGGAAGGATGGAGGATCAGAGAGTGGACTGTTGAAGCCGGAGAGAGAAGGCGAGGGGGCACGTGATTCATGAATAAGCGCCATGAGGGCCTTTGGTTGCCAGAAAAACTAGAGAACTTGACAAGACCAAACATAGTGAGAGAGGAAGAGGGAAAAAGAGGAGGGAAATTGTTAAGAATCAAATCACAGTTAGAATTATTCTCTTATCGTCTGGGAGCAATGAAGGCTGATTCAGCTGAATATTGACTTCGTAGGAGAGTGTCACCTCTGGAAGATGATTATTAAGGCCTTTTATATAAGTAGGACCTTGAGCTATAAGTTATCGTAGTGGCAGAGGAACTCAGTGAAGTGACTGCTCGGTCTGAACTATCAGCAAATGCAGGCTGACAAGAAGGCACACCTCCCTAAAGCTGTGATCAATATCAAACAAATGCACATTCATAGTTTCTATGTTGTATCACCCAGTGCTTCGCAGCTTTCGATAAAGAGGGTCCCTAAGGACAGGGGTCTGCAGGGGTCTATGTTGAGAGTACACAACAGTGCAGAACATGCAATTACAGTAAATTGTTCATCGTCAGCATAGAAGAGTAATGTCATGAAACAAAGAAAAACACGAGACATTTCTGGCATTCCCCCCACCTCAGAAACAATGTAATTCTTCCAATTTGAATAGGTAAATAAATATGAGAGTACAGTGGTAGGCTCTGCATGTGCTTAGTGATCAGAGCAATGACATTAACTTATGAGTCATGATGTCTGATATCCGAAGATATGAAATCAATGCTAGAATGTGAAACATGATTCAGGATGTGTGGACAAAGGACAAACGAGAAGCCTGTCTGGACCATAAATCAGAGAAAGCTTCAGTTCAGGATTACCCTTGATGAAGTACTGCAGCAAATAATGTCAGACCACCATAGGCTAACTTGGCAGTAGGTGCCACAGCATCGCAGTAGCTCAATTAAGTAATGTCCTTACATCTCGTCATTACAGAATATTACATAGTATTGAACTGCTTTTGGTTTATGGTTCATGTTCATGAATAACAAAACCAATGTAGGCAGAATAGTGCCACAGCTGGTTATTTACATCTGGAGCAACATCACTGGTGGATTAGAATGGAAGAGATCAAAAGATGGCCGTATAATAACGAGAGAATTCTGCAAGCCTCTTCAAAGCTTGTCATTTCTCCAAGGAGACAGCCTGTTCACGCACAGTGGAGAAGGAAAACGCATGATTTCTTGTCAGGGCCTTTTTAAGTGATCCAGTCCTCCTCTGCTATCTCTGACAGGCACGACTAAGAGGTGACAGGTTTTGCTTCATAAAGTAATGATACAAATCAATACCCAGCATCATTGTGTTGTTGTACGGCTTAAGACACACAAAAAACATGCAAAAAAACATGCAGCTGGATCTGTTTGCAGGTTGTGAGGAGGACTTCAAGTATCTGTATATCCCATGTCAATTTGAGTCAAATGACTAAGCCTAAATATATTAACATGCTATTATATATTGTTCACCTTACTGTGAAAAATGAGTCGCATTATGTAATGTGCCTTGGATCGGATGTATTATCCATCAGCCCTCTCATACCTCGACCTATAGCTGTATATGACCATCCATAATTCAGAAAATATGGAGAGAGAAATCATGTAGATAGTCCAAAACAAGACAGAGCCTGAAGGACGCATCAAACAAGCCAGAACCATGAAGCTCAAAGTCATTATAATCGTCTGCGCAGAGAGAACCCAAACCACTGAGACACATCTGGTGTCTGAAATCCGGAATAATCATTCACATCCGACTGAACCTGCCTGCTAATAGTCCTGCTCCGGCTCTCACTTGATTTATTTATCAGCTGCCGGAGCTGTAGGAGCAGGCTCCGCTCTGCTACAGGCCAGTGCATGGTGGATGTGTCGGGGGGGTTTCTTGCGCGCATCATCGCGTCTCCTCGCACCTCCTGCTGCGGTTAAGATTTTTCCGGTGCGTCAGTGGAGCATCGCTGACAACACTGACGTTACAGTCAAACACACTATTGCGGTTTGTATTTGAATAATAAAGGACACGATGCGCTTTTTATGGATAAAATCAGCTGCATACGACCTCCCTTCTCCTTGAATAGCCCACCTATCACGCCGACTGATTGCTGGCCATGTAAAAGGAACGTTTCCTACCTCACTGCCGACAGCTGAAGTCCATCGCTGGTGACTGCTTATTCCACGTTGTAGTTTAGGATTCCAACAACCGCCTGATAATTCTCCCGTTCTGGGTTTTGTCGGTGTAATCAGCATCCACGCTCACTCCTCCTCTTCCTCCTCTCTGCATCCAACGAGGTTTATCCGCCCTGGATGACTGGAAGTCCGCGTCTTCTCTTTGGTTTATCTCAGCGAGCAGTAAACACAGCTACAGCTATACGCTCCCTCGGTTCGCTTGTTTTCCTGCTCCTTCACCTCCTCCTCATTTTTTTTTCATTCTCCTCTGATGATGCGATCTGCGCACACTCGGGAATTTATACGGTCTATCTCACCTATACTCGTAAACACGACCGTGGAGGAGAGGAGGATGAGGGAGGGTTGCAGTGTCGGTGTCCTCCTATCAGAGGACAAATGTGCCGTGACGAGCTCAGTCCTGTGAGACAGGACGGGACAACGGCAGGTAAACGGGTTTATGAGCGTGAGACGCAGGGGTCAGCCGATGAGTGAGGTGATCAAAATGATGTCATTCCCAAAGCATGCAGCATTTGACTGGACAGCACCGTGTAAATCCCTTCAAACCCTATTAACGCCGTCTGTATCGAGTGTAATTGGTGTATAATCTGTGCGCAAAACCCAGTCTGCCACAGAGGGGACATGAAGGCAGGTCGTTTTTTATTATTATCTTCTCTAATCTCTACTGACCCATTTATCTGCGGTAGGGAGAGTGGGACAGCTCGGAACCTAAATGGGACTTTCCCCAGGCGTGATTTGTTTCCCTCAGCGCCTTTAATTAACCTGAATGAAATAAAACATCACACTCATTTGAACAACTGTCATCTTTCATTGCAAATCTCATTTCGTGTTTGCAAATACCACCAAGTTCTCATCTTCAAGGGTTCCTCATTAATCAAGATGTTATTTCCAAGGCCTGGCATTCCTGCCATCATACATGAATAAATTAAGTCTTTAATATTGTGTAATTTATAAAACCATGCATACGCAGGCTTACAAGACACCACAAAGTCAAATAAACCAGATTCAGAATGCTGCTTAAACTGTATTTTCATACAAAACGTGCTACAAAAAAATCACAATTCGATTTTCAGAACTTTATGTAATTAAATAAACAATATTGCCTTCGTTCCCCGGCTTTTAAGACACAAATGGTGCCCTTAAACACATCAAACTGAACAACCATTCGTACAGTACATAAGAAACTGGGACTTACTCACTTTTCCCAAATCACACAGCTCACACAATAAATCAGATAAGAAATCCTGCTTGAATGGATGCTAGTGTAACTCAACAGGCCAACTGGGAGATCATGAAATCATTGTAAACATATAGGAGAATCTTCCAAGAGTCAAACTATTTGGCAGACACAGAGGAAGATGTGATTGTGGAACAGCTGGGGATCCCATGTCTGAGCTGTGTACTTACTGTGGCAGTCTAACCGGTTGTAGCTACATGACCCTTTTTGAGTGCTAAATCCAAATCCTGCCCTTATCTCCCAGATTAAGCTCGTGTTGGGCTTAAACCCTAACGATGACCTCATTGTGTAAATTGTAGACAGCGGGGGAAACCCTGGCTAGCGCACAGACCTGGCCGACCATGTGAGACTGACAAACCTGCACAATACACAAGTATTCGAAGCCTCCCTCTCTTCTTCTCTCTGTGGAGCTTTGTGAAATCATGATGAAAAAAAGATCACCGCACTGGTTGAGTTTGACACCTCCACTGAAATTACAGTTTGGACATTTTTTTGCTTCTGTTTTAATTTGTTTATCTTTGAGTCACTCTGTGCCCTCTGCCTCCACATGAAGCCTTGCTCAAATGAATATAAGATTTTCTGAGTATTTTGTATTATGTTTCCCCCTGTGGTGGAGGGAAACAGAAGCACCATAACAAGAGTTATTTTTCATCACTCTACAATTTCACACCCAACAAGGGGAAACAAAGAGCAAGGCAACATAATAATGGACCTGTTTTATGAAAGTTATTAAATGTTTAACTACTTATTTTCTTTACAACATATTCTAACAACCATCTCAGCGGGACACTGTCAGAGAATTTTTGCATTTCTAAAAAGAAAAAAATTGACAGCGGACTTGATTAATTTTCACAATCTAATAAAACATTATCTTCAAGTTCCCAAATGAAAATTCAAGGAACCCTTGCCAATACTGTGGTTTATGAATGTTTAATGTTGCTTTTAATATCACATGAAATAGAGTGGGCAAAAATCTGCTTTAATCATTCTTGCTATTTTATGCCATCCATATCTAGAATTCTGTCTTCAGGCGGTCTGAATGGAGCAGCACATCCTCTGTTCTATTTCTTTTTCTTAAAACTTTCCTCATGATTTATTTATCAGTGCTTGTAGTTGCAGGACGGCTCCTCGTCAGGGAGGCTCAGTCCTCTGAGGGTCTGTGCTGCTGCCTCTGATGTCCACCAACGCATCTTCTGCTTCTGTTGTGGTAACAACAAGCACAGGCTGAATGCTGCAGGGTATCACTCCTTATCAGATAAAAACCTCAAATCTAAAAAGTGACAGCTGAAAATAAATAAACATATATATATATATATATATATATATATACACATTTATAGTGGGACTCTCATTGATTTTCAAAGACTGCACAGCGGATTCAGAAAGAGCTACGCGCGTTCTCCCGTCACGTTACATGCCTGCTGCATACGCGCGAAGACCATCTAAGAGAAAATGTGCACACAACAAAGCTTCAATCGGACTACTGAAGGAATGACTGTAAAACATTCTGTGGTATCCAACCAAATGGCTGATGTAAAATGCTGCATTGTTTGGCAACATGCCTCATAATCTGTTGGAGGGAATTAACAGAAGCCATCATTGAAGGACGTCAAGGGGAATACCATGTGTGTGCACACAAGCCTTTGACTGTGTGTGTACCATGTTGTGAAAGGCCCGGTGCCAAATGGTCACAGATTATCAGTTAAGGGGGAAGGTAGAGGTGTGTGTGTATGTGTGGGTGGGTGTGGGGAATGAGGGGGAGGGCAGGTTCTGGCTCTGTGGAGGGCCTATTTATGGATCCTCATCGAGAGCCCCTCGTGTTAGTCATTGTCACTTTCACTCACACACTGCTGAATAGGTGGCCAATCATCAAATCCACTCAACTCTGGTCCTACAGGGAATGTGAACAAAAGAAGAAAAGATAATTGTCTCTCTGCTCCGACAACATATTGACTGAAAACTAACAGCAGAATACCAGAGACATCCTTTCAGATTCCCGATGAAAGAAGACAGCAGAAGTGTGTGTCTATATTTCTGTGTGCTTATATACCGTATGTCTGTGTGACCACAATGGAGTGATCCCTTCCTGTCTGTTGGGGGAAGCTGATATTGGACGGTATTGTCATCAATCAGGTTGCCACTACTTTGTGTTTTGCCCACTGATGAGGATTCATTAAGATTGGCGCCAACCAGCATTGGTGGGCGGGTAAAGGAGGTTGGTGGGTGGGGGAATCTCCATTTCAACCAGATGATCTCACCTCCTGTCTGCAGCTCAGGAGGAAGAGTTTTCATTCATAAAGTCTGTCCATTCACACATGTGTTCAGGCGCACACACACATACACAATATATCTCCCTACGGGATGCTGAGGAAACAGTTGAGCCAATGAAGCAATATTCAGGTGAGATCACCGTCGGACGCCAAGGTTCCTCATTCCATTTCAAAACTCTATCGAGGATGTTTGCTGCCGTTATTCATTCGATCTTGCCTGCATTACTGCACCACATACTCAGGAGTGGAAAGAAGATGTCATGATAGAAAACTGCCGAAAATGTATTGGATAAGAGGTTACTATTATAAATTACAATTACAAAACACTGTGAACATCGGCTTTTAAGTTGATATAGGAAACATCAGCTTTCACCAGGTTTTGTAAGCATTGAATAATATTTGCATTCATTTGGATTGGCAATTTTGTGGTATCTGATTCATTTAAGATAAATATCCACTCCCATTTTAGCTCTGTTTTGGTCTCCACCTTATCTTGCTCGGCAGCTGGATTCTCGCAATGTCACAAAATCATACAAGAATCGCAGGATCACAGATCACACAAAAATCCACCGTGTCAGGCTAAAATGAATGTGTTTGCATCCAGCTAGCCAGAACTACTGAAGAGCTACTGCCAGCTTTGTGCGTGGTTTAGGTGTGTGCGAGACAACTAGGAGAGGCGACTGTTTGTTCAAAGCAACAATGGCGGCTCCTGAAGAGGTTAGCGGAGGTGAATCAATTACATTAGAACTGGAGAATATTTCCTCACCTGCTAAATATTTTTCAAAACTGACTTCCCTTATCGAAACAGTTTCTAATGATGGCTAATTAGATGATTCTGCGTAAACAAACCATCTAGCATCTAGTAAAGTTAGTCTCCATTAACTCTCGAGGGAGATATCTGGCTCTTAAGCTGCTAAATGTTCCACTATCTTCACCAATTAGTCACTAACTGTGTCTGTCCTGCTGTTTGATAATAAGATAAAGTGGGTACAATGGGTTTATTGAGCTTTTTCATTTAAAGCAACTGCCTGCTGCGGCTGAAAATGGCATTGAGGAGAGCTGTGAAAGTGAACCAAACTGGTAAATTTGTGGACAAAAAAAACAAAAGCTGAAAGTTGATGTAAAACTCTGAGAACGTCAGAGTTGTTGGTGTATCACTACGAGCAAAAAAACATTTCACATACAAGTAATCATGTGATCTATTGTTAATATGAAAATATTGACTATTGCGGCTTTCCAATCTCTCTTTGACAGTTACAAGATGTGTCCAAGACAAGTGAAGAACCATATTGACTGATTCGGGCGTTCACTAAAATATGCAAATCCAACATTTAGATCAAGCACTGCTTTGATCTTCCAGGGAGATTAGCGATGCGTCTGATTTCCCTTTGAAACCTCTGAGAGGCGAGCAGCCAGCCAGGCAGCCTGCTGTGGAGAGCCTCTGGCAGCGAACCGGTAAGGAGAGGGTTAATAACAATAAAGGGGAGGTTGGAGAAGCCTTCCTGAAAGTCACGTGTGTTGTGCCGGGAAGCAGGGGTGGAGGAGCGGAGGGAGGTGGAGCCGGAGGAGGGGTCTGGAGCGTGTTGCCGTAGAAACAGAATTCTCAGTTGGCCGATGTGAAGTCAGAGGCGTAATATTAGGCGGTGACTGCAGTTAGATGCTGCTGGTGGTGTGAGGTGGGTGGATGGGAGGGGAAGGGGAATGGGAGGGGGTGACTCACACTGGAGGACGCACTCTGCATTCTAATGGATGGACCCACATTTGGACGCGCACACATAAACACACACACACGCACACACCTTGATTAGCTACATCACCTACCGTCTCATCCTTATGTTAGAATCTCCCATTTTTCTACACTGCATATCGACTACTGTACAGCAAGGCCCAGCATTATCCCGCACCACTCTACTTCAACTTATAGTTAATTCATTATTTCAATGATAGATCCATTAGTGTTCGCCTTGATGGCTTCACTTGCATGAGTTGATAAAGGGCATCTATTAGAGGGAACCAAATGCTTAGACAGGCCAGTAAACTATAGCCATGTAATTGGTGACGGCATAATTGCACAGCACACGTAGCAATTAAAGCGATAATATGTGTAAACCATGCTCAAGATTATCATTGGATTAACTACACTTCCCAAATGCCCTTGAGAGTAGAGGATCACCAGCTGTTTCTGGGGAAGTGTTAATAATTATGCGGACGATTTTTTAGGCTGTTGTTTAGAGGGTCTTTCCTTTTTGCCACAGGGAGATCAGTTTGTTTGGCATCTGTTGTGAGGATGTAGTCCGTGCTAATGAACCTTTTCTCTCCGGGTGCGGGACAAGAAAGCAGAAGCACTAAGAAGATTTTTTCTCAAACGCAGAAATATGGACCCATAAAAAAAAAATTGTGATGCCTCAGGGTTAATAAAGGCAATTCATTACAACAGCCAGTGCTCATGGCGGTGGGAATGAGACAACCAAAATGTGTAAAATCACTAATTATGTGTATGGATTCTCTTAATTTATGTGATGCATAAATCATGTATTTCATCTAATACTTTGATATAACATGTAGAGGCAAAGAAAGTGAATCTTAAGCGATGAGGTGAACAGAGGCTAGAATCATTTTGTTCATTTTATGGTCATAAATCATTAATGTCATAATGTAAACGTCATTAGGAATCATATAACTTTAGATCATCTCATGTTTACATACATTTTTTTTAACTTAAGGGGAGACTTAGTTATGTCAACTGATTGGACTTTTATAACAAAAAAAATAAAAACGATTTCTCTATTTCTGTCCTCATTACCATAATTAAAGTCCAGTGATGATGAATGAATATTAATGAGCACAAGTAATGAGAAGCTTTAAACATTATTTGAATAAATATTTTGCTTTTTTTATTGTGTATGTTTCCTCACACAAAACACAATTGTCATATTTTTGTTTTCCAGTTTACTATTTTACATTCACAATGGAGACGACATACCTTCTGCAGTTCAAAGCAGCCCCTGCAGTGTTATAACTCAGGGGAATGTGACGTACACTTGCCCCATAGCAAATAATTGACTTTTTGATTAAACCCTGCTTTGCACTTCCTTTTAAGGAAAGCCAGGGCAGGTTCATTTCCCATCATTGCTGCGTGTAGAACTGGAAGCAGCAGGGAAGATCACGGGCAGTATGACGTTTTCTCGGCCCCCACCCACAGCTGTATCTCATGGTTTGGGGCGAGCCAATGGGGTGGGCTGCAGGCTGGCTGTCTGATCCAATGCTGGCTGGTCAGGATCAACTTTATCTTCTGTCTTGTTTATTTCAGTTTGCCTGTGACTATGACTCATTCCATTTTTGGGAAAAAGGGGCATCTAAGGTACCATTCCCACTGAGGAAAAACCAAAAGAAACCGGATATCTCTGGATTCTTATGAGTAGTTCCTTCTCAGATTCTTTTATTTGAAGGATTTCTATAAGAATTGACAGAGATAGAGTCCATCTATGTTTAAATTAATTTTGTTAATTTTGTAATCTAAATTGCACTTAATTCCTGCACAGTGCCATAATTCTGTTATGATTCTATTGTATATTTAGTTTGTACTCCAGTCAAGGTTTTTTCTTGAGACCCCTCACATTTATCTGTTATTGATGTTTTTTCTCATTTGCCTAATATATTCAGAATAATTAGAGGCAGTGGCATTGGTTCCAAAATTTAGATTCTGAAGGAATACCAGTCACCAATTATACACAGTTATGCTAATTACCCACTTGACTGGATCACATATTACCTGTATTAAGAGTCAGTAATTCATCTAAAGAGGGCAATTATCATTTGTAGCAATACTGTGATGGAAGTGATGGAGCAGTAAGCAATAAGTTATATATAACATGTTTAAAAAGACTATTGTCTTCTAAAAAACTAGTAGACATCGTCAAAGAAACATCCATAGTGCAACATCACCAGGCGAGTTTAGCCTGTTGGTTCATGA